GAACTATGTTACAACCTCACAAAATGTTTTTGTGGTTTGGACATGTCCTATAGTCTTGGTCAGAGAAGTCAAACATATTCATATAAGTGTACAGAAGACACAGTGTACTAGTACTTTTTACTCCACTACATTCAAAAGACTGATTTAGTTACTGGTTGTTAAAATGAGCTCCAACTTAATCAGCTACAACAGCAAATAATGCTACTTCCACATTACGCCTCTGTACTGTCAAACTAATAGTGTGATATGTGATAATATATCACTCACAGGGGATTTTCCTGCATAATTAGTACTTTTACTTTCGATTCTTTGAGTTTGTGTTTTACTTTTACTTATGATTTGTCCTTTAAGTATTACTACTTTTCTTAAAGGTCCAGTGTGTAACATTTAGAAAGATCTAGTGGCAGAAATGGAATATAATATTCATAGGTATGTGTTCATTAATGTATAATTACCTGAAAATAAGAATCATCATGTTTTTGTTACTTTTGAATGAGTTGTTTTTATCTACAGAGTGAGTGGACAAACCAAACGCTGGTTCTAGATAGGGCTGTGTGTGTTTTTTGTAAGTTCTGCGGCCACCATACTTTCTCCAACACACTTGGAACGGGAGGATGACGCGAGGGGGTTCTAATCTGCAACTGCACTCTAAATACTACACACTGGTCCTTTTAAGTATAGGAGCTGAGAACTTCTTACACCACCACACATGTGTAATGTCAATGTCATGGGGAACTGCAGGAAAATCAATAACCAAAGTGGAGACTGATGATGATGATGATGGTGATCATGATAATGGAACAGAGAGTATCTGTCTATCAGTCTCTCCGTCTATCTACCTGTCTATCTGGCTGTCCTACAAATGTCAGTGAATGCCCGCTGGTAATTTTGTCTAACCCCCGTTCCTGTCGTCTAGATGGGGCAAAGAAGCCGTGGGACCGAGCCAACTCTGCAGACAGGTCAATGATTTCAAGGTGAGAGCTGGAAGCAGCACAGCTCATTGGATATGTGTGTGTGAAGCAGAACAACAGCAGTGACTCTAACAGAGAATGATTTTTTTTATTATGCAGGGTACGGCCCGCAGGGGGTGGCAGTGACACAGACTCGTTAGACCTTGATAGAATGAAACAGGTAAAGAAAACACGCTGCAACACTAACCACCAACCTAAATGTAGACGAGACTTGTGTGTTTTTTAATCCTGCTTATGTTCTGGCATGTGACCAGTTAGTTGTCCAAAGCTCATTTGTTTTCCAAAGTTAATTTGGATGGAGAAAATAAAATGCTTTTTGTACTTAATATTTGCTCCCTGTGTTAAAAGATTTTATACAGTAAATAAAGAAACGTGTGATGTATTAGGAACACTGACGTTATCTATTTGTTTGTGCGTCATTAGGAAATCTTGGAAGAGGTGTTTCGTGAATTGCACAAAGTGAAGGATGAAATCATTGATGGTATGTTTAATTTGTTCTTGGAACACTAAAGAGGGGTAATCAATAAGCTTTTAGCAACACTGTCTCTCTCCTCATTTATGTTAATTCATATTTAATTGGAAATGTAACCAGTGGGATGATGGGACTTAGGTAGTTATGTAGAGGTGTGTCCACTAGGTCGCACTGGAGTTCCAGTCCAAAGAGTTCCAAAGCCTACAATACAGATGCATATAAAAGAAATGGATTGATGGATTATTTATTAACTCACATAAGAACAATGTGGATACCTCTGGGTTATAACATTGTTGGTAAATATTATTATTACTTGATTAATGAAAATGTGTTAAACAACTCTATAACTCTATAATACATTGTCAGCCCAGAGAGTCGTTTGTATCACATTGTGAACAGATTAAAGGATAAAGGAGCCAAACTAATTGTCATAACGAAATATACCATATTTTGAAAGAATTGACTCCTAATGAAATAACTCACATATTTTAGACAAATGTGAATACTTTGACTAATCATATTGTTCGTGAAAAACTTAAAATATGCAAAAATAAACAATCAAATGATGAAGACATTTTTATAACACTGTCAATCTGTATCATTTACATTACATTTTATATGTTTATATCATTATTTATAAATGCATTATTTTCTCTTTTTTCATTAGTTTATTATTCATGACACATCTGTTCCCGAGGTTACACCATTTCTTTTTACGTGAGGCACTCCATAAATTTGGGGTACTGCTCATGACGACAAAACTGAACTATAATCAGTGGAGTGGCCCTTTAACTCACCTCTGGTCTGCACTGAGGCCAGTGGAGGTATTCTGTTGTAGTAATAATCTAACTGGTGTCATCAACCTGACTTTGTTCCTATGTCTTCTGTCCTTTGCCTACAGCCATTAGACATGAACTCAGTCGAATTAGCACGACATAATCTTTCAGAGCCACTCCCGGACATGAACCACCTTTTCAAAACAATGCCCCTGCAGCAGCTGCTGTGGCCCTGAGGAGGAGGAGGAGGAGGAGGAGGAGGAGGAGGAGGAGGAGGAGGAGAAGAGAAGTCAGAAACGGAGGCCCAAACTGTGACATCTACTCATCCTGTTCAGCTGTGGTGTTGAAGCAACGCGGCAACGTTGCTGTAACACCTCAGACGTGTCTGTGTAACGTTTGGTTTGTTTGTTTGGAGCGATGGACGTGAACGGCGCACACTCTCGCACTGATTACTCTGATTTCTTAACATTTTCTGTCTGTTTGTTAGCCCAGTTCGCCCCTCTGTCCTCGGCCTAAAGGAAAATGGATAAAATTCTTATGATTTTTATTTGTTTTGCTTTTTTCACAAGTGTGTTTTAAACTTTTTTTTAATTATTACTATCATTTTCATTATTGTTACTATCATTTTTATGATTGTCAATGTATTGTTAATATGAGTAGTAGTAGTGTAGTGAGTGCAATGGTAATAATGAGGAAATGATAATGAGAATATGATAGTAATGATAATGTTGATCATTATTATTGCACATCATTTTATGACAGCCTTTTGTATTTTATATTGGTTGTTTTCATTTGTTTTTGTTTTAGATACAGCTGCAAGCACATCCAAAAAATGTTTTCTCATCATCTAACCTTGAACATTTTTTAAAGGTTTTTTATCCTTTTCGCCAACACAGCTACGTGTGGAACCATGGCAGAAAAAAACAGGCTCTGACCTGAAACTGAGGGTGGAATAAACTTCTTTGGATATAGCAATCTTATAAACAAAAAAAACCCAAAAAAATTAAATAATACACCAGAGTATTTGTGATCATGTTGTTAATAAAATGTTTATTGGCTGCAAGGATATGGTGAAGTATTGTTCATTTTATTCTCTCCTTTTATGACAAAGTGCTTCCTGGTTTGACAACAAAAAAAGAAACGCACTAAGTTTAAAATGAATTCAAATAAAACTGTGAACAATGTCTTGGATAAATGATGCTGTCTCTTTCCTTCTTTGTTTGGGTGCTATTTCGATGCCTGTCTGGTGCTTTTGTCTGACTGTAATTTTTCGGTTTCATTTCTTCTTTTTCCAAAAACATGTGCTCGTTGAATAGGTGCCATGAATGTCAGCTGGTGCAGCACAGAGAAGTGTGAAACATCTGAGCTGTGCAACCTTATTGTGTTATACAAGTGTTGCACACAATGTAGGATGCTGATAAAGAGTCCTGCACAAATATTTGCTAAATAGATTAAAAAAGACAAACCCAAATAATTAATATTAGTGGTATTCATTCAAGTGTTTATTATAATTATCTGTATATTGTGGATTATTTATAACACCACTTAGACTGTGTTCCCTATTTGCTGCAGCTCTTGTGGTAGTATACTTTATTTAAAATGACATACTTTTTCACCTCTAGCCTTTTAGCTACTTAAATACTGTATTGCTACCTTCCACTGGATGCTATTGGCAACATGAAGGTAGGAGGATAAAAATCAGTTCTCTTTTTTTTTTTACTGAAACTGATTTTAAAAAATGTGTTAGCTATAATATCCACAATGACTATTTGATACACTTTACTTACTGTTTTCAAAGTGTAAGTAAAAGATATCAAATGCAAAAACTGCTGTAAGTATTGCTTGCTACGTAGCACGCTTGGCCACATCACAACCACTGATGTCACAGCAGGTGTTTGGGTAAAGGTGTCTATGGTAATGCACCTGCTGTGACATCACTGACTGAGGTGTGGTCACAGGTGCAACATGCTGGGACGAACCCATAGGGAGCACTCATTACTTTAATTGGCCGCCTATATATGTCTACTAGACATTATATTTGGACTTATGTTTGTTCATTAGACAGACTTAAACTGACAGAGCAAGGCCAGAATTGAGTTAACTCCATGTGATAAAAATAAACGATATTTATTTAAAAATATACGTTTGTTGGATATGCAAAGCTTGATTTTCCATTTCATCCCATTCAATTTGAATAATTTGTTTTTTGGGCTGCTGGTCAGGATGCTGGTCGAGGCAGATGACCACCCACCTAGAGCCGAAGGATCTGTCCTAGGTTTCTGCCTTTTAACAGGCAGTTTTTCCTTGCCCTTGTCGCCAAGGTCTTGCTCATGGTGGTACTGTTGGGTCTCTGTAAATAATGTTATAAGAAGTTCGGTCTAGACCTGCTCTATTTGAAAAGTGTCCTGAGATAACTTCTGTTATGAATTGGCGCTATACAAATAAAATTGAATTGAATTGAATTGAAATAACAACTTCCATTATATAATTTATGAATCAATGTTATTTTGGACATTTTATAAATACAATTATTATTTGATTAATCGAAAACAATTGTCCCGCGAGTAAGGTTCAGTAACATTTGCAGCTCGAACTCCTACTTGGATGAGATGTTCACTTGTATAATTTATCTGTTAAATCATACAATCATACAAAAATGATATCAGACGAGTGCTTTCGTGACAAATACAACTTCAACTCATGTCAACAAACTTTGGGAACCCCCGTGGCACCCACTAGCACCGCTATCGCTGGCTTCGCCCAACTCTCGCGATGTTTCGGTAATAGAGAGCATAGTGGCGACGAGAACTGGCGTGGGACGGAGTGAAGAGAGTTGTTATCGAAGAAGAGGGAGAACAGACAGGCAGGAGCAGAGCAGGGGGTGTGTGAGTGTGTTTGTGAGGTCCAAAAAGGAGCACAACACGGCGTGAATGAGAGAGGCAAGCTGGCGGAATTCAACATGGCATCCGGAGATACGCTGTACATTGAGACAGACGGCTCGGAGATGCCGGCCGAGATCGTGGAGCTCCACGAGATAGAGGTGGAAACGATACCGGTGGAGACTATCGAGACCACGGTGGTCGGCGGGGACGACGACGACGACGACGACGACGGGCAACCCATGATCGCGCTCCAGCCGCTGGTAACGGACGACCCGAGCTCGATCCACCACCACCAGGAGGTGATCCTGGTCCAGACTCGGGAGGAGGTGGTCGGTGGGGATGACTCGGACCTGCACACGGACGGCGGCAGCGGGTTCGAGGACCAGATCCTCATCCCGGTACCTGCTCCGGGGGTGGAGGACGAGTACATCGAACAGACACTGGTGACTGTGGCTGGGAAGAGCTCAGTGGGTCGGGTGAAACGGGGAGGCGGCACCGGGGGCAAGAAAGCGGGCAAAAAGAGCTATTTAAGCGGTGCGGAGGCTGGGGCAAGAAAATGGGAACAGAAGCAGGTGCAAATAAAGACACTGGAGGGGGAATTTTCTGTTACGATGTGGGCATCGGGTAAGTAACGCTAGCCCTGTGTTAGTCTGTCAGATCCGTTGTTAGCCGTTGCATGAGGCCTCGTTGCCAGGGCGTTGTCCTGCTGCACCAGACTAGTTCCTGGAGTTGTCCGTTGCACCGCTGTGAAAAGCGACAAATGCTGCAGGTTTTCGATGCAAAACCTCACTGTGCCGTAGCGAAATGTTTTTGTTTTGAAGGGAGGCCATGTTTTAGGTGTTGCTGGGCGCCGCCATATTCCCCGAGACTAGTAAGTATGGCGGCGGCCCCGAAAAAATGGCGATAGTCGCGGTCAGGCAGAGATGGCGGCGGTGCTTTTGGGGGGGTTGGGGGGGGAGATAGAGGCAGCGGGGTTTGGGATATTTACAGGCCGCAAAGCTGTGGTGAACCTGGTGCTCAGCTGTAGTTGGTGTAGCGTCGGAGGGTTGTGTAAAGCGTGTGCAAGTTTAATATGTGTGAATATCTGAATCGGGTAGTTGTTGAGTCAGTAAATCGATTAGCAGTTAGCTCAGGTTGCTGTTGGGGGGTAGCTCAGCAGACAGCTGTGCGTCTGCGTCAGGGTAGTTACTGCCTCTGTGTGAGGGTACTGCGTGACCAGGTGGTAATCCATCAGGGTTAGGGGCAAGAAGAGGGTTCAATAAGGCAACCAAGAGTTAATATTTACTGAGGTTGTTTATTATATTGGAGATGAAAACACTTCTTGCTGTTAGTCCTCCTGTTCATATTGTGTTTTAGGACCTCAGCAGCTGTCTGAAGCTATTTTTAGTGCACTGCTGGTTTAAAGTAGGATTCACTCGGTTAGCTGTTTATTATTATTATTATTATATTGCTATTATTGTCTTAATTGAAGGAAGTTATGAGTTATTATGTCTTGCTTGAGAGAGTGGACTTTTATAAATTAAGAATAGACCTGGCCTCAGGTTTACATCTTCCTTTTTAAATGTATTTAAAGTTAAAAGTTTCTAATTTGTGTAAAATTGTAGTTTAAATTATTGTAATTGTGGCCCTGCTAAACTATTTTTATTCTACAATTTGTCAACATGTGTGGCATTTTTGTTATATTCGTGTCATGTTTTGTTATCTACATGGAAAGGTATTATTAGCATAACATTTGGTAATTGTTATTTTCCTACCATTTTTAGTGTACAGTGCAATTTACTAAGCATACACCTGCGCAGTTGTGAGCAGTAGGAAGAGAGTAATATGTAAAAATGGGGCAGATTTCTATTAATGTAAATCCAAAGCAATTGTGCAACAATAATGTGACTCCTAATATAACCTGCTGTCCACGGCAGCTGCTACTGTTTCTGCCCTCCCTCACACTTAGGGAAAAACCACTATGTTATCGGTTCAGTCTCTGTAATGTGTTTCTAGATGACAATAAAGACATTGACCATGAGTCGGTGGTGGAGGAACAGATCGTGGGGGAGAACTCCCCTCCGGATTACTCGGAGTACATGACAGGGAAGAAGCTGCCCCCTGGTGGCATCCCCGGGATCGACCTCTCAGACCCCAAACAGCTGGCCGAGTTTGCCAGGTGAGTGTGTGTCTCTGCATCCTGTGTCCCAAATGTAAACACACCTGTTTCCTGAGAAACAGGCACAAATTGTAGACAACTTTGATGAATATGTTTTTAAAAAGATTGCTGTTAAATCACAAAGGTGAAATGTAGTAGAGATAAATGTGACACTGGACACAATCAGATATTCTGTTGCTAGAGTCTGTCAGGCAAAAACGTGCATGTGGAACTTTTGCTAAAAAGGGTTTTTACATGTACTTTTGTACTGGAATCCAGCTTATTTTTGTTTTAAACATTTTTGTTATTACATAACTAAAGCAGACCAAAAGGAATATAATTATATAGACTATTTACTACCATGTATTCTGTGTGACACCCAAAGGAGATAAAAGAAAGAATAAAGTCTTCAGTGCAGTCAGTAAAAGATATAAGCCGCTATAGCAACTAACAGCTATTATTGTTATTTAATTGTGTGGTATATGAAATAAAAATAATGGGAAATACTCCTCAGAGTTGTGATAAAACCAACTTTGACCCATTTAAATTACTCTTTCTGTCCAATTTGGAGTTAAAAACTCATAGATAAAAAGCTAATATTAACACTTGATCATTAAAATTGCTGCAGATTAACAGACCGACTGTTTCAGCTCTTTGCAGCTTGCAGGAAAGCAGTGAGACCAGTGAGTGGGCATTATGTAATTATTTACCATAATAGCTTCACTTCAAGTGGGGATGTGACAGACTGCCTCTTACTGAAACTGGTTGTTGATTGAATGAAAAAATCCACATTAAAACTGAACTAGTGGCCCCCAGGTGGCTTTGCACCATGTGTCTGTTTTTATTTGTTAAAAACCTCAAACCATGTCATTTTCTTCCCTAAACAGGATGAAGCCCAGGAAAGTCAAAGAGGACGATGCTCCCCGGACGATAGCTTGCCCTCATAAAGTGAGTTTAAAATGCACCCAAAGGAACCTCTCCAACACTTTGCTGAAATAAAGCCCATAGTCCCCGGTTTGATAGTCTTGCATTGTTGCTTTCTGTATTATTGAACATTTCTGAAAAGGTTATTTAAAAGCAAAGAAAGCACTTGAGTGTATTGATTTTCATGTACTTACAAGAACAATCAAACCTTATCTGAACTCTACATGTTTAGCTTCATGTAAAGGCGTGTATTTGTTCAACGAGCAGCCTGTCGTTGGAGCGAGGCTGTTAACAGTATGTATAATAATAGTTGCCACTTCAGGAAGAGGAAGCTCCACTTGTTTAAAGGATTTAAACCTGATTAAGGAAAACTGACTATACAAAATGTAGAGTAGGGCTGAAACGTTAAAAAAAAAAAAATCACTATTTCCCATGTTGATGTCCTCAAATGTCTTATTTTGTCCACAACCCAAATATATTCAGTTTACTGTCCTGGAGGACTAAAAATAAATGTTTACAAGCTGAAATCAGAGAATTTGGACATTTCTTCTTTAGAAATGTCACAAAACAATGAATTTATCAAAATAGTTGGCGATTAATTTCGTAGTTTCCGATTAATTGACTGATGGTTGCAGCTCTTATGCTGACGACACCTGACCTTTTTATATTTGTGTATAATTGAAACAAAAAACCCCTTTGGTGCAGTACTTTAGAGTTTACCATCCTGCTGCACAGAACCTTACGTTTGCTTGTCTGTGCTGTTTGTCAACCCTGTGCTGCACTTTCTCTGATCCCCAGGGCTGCACAAAGATGTTCAGGGATAACTCAGCCATGAGGAAGCATCTCCACACCCACGGCCCCCGCGTGCACGTCTGCGCCGAGTGCGGCAAGGCGTTTGTCGAGAGCTCCAAACTCAAACGTCACCAACTTGTTCACACAGGGGAGAAACCCTTCCAGGTTGGCATCTGGGCTAGCTTCACACTCCCCCACATACAGCTACACTCGCACTATTTTTACATTTTAAACACATAAGCCCACGGTTTTAAGCCAAATTCAAGCCAAGGAGAATGGGATAATAAGTTATTGCTGGCTTATTTCTGGGGTTCAACCACCCAACAAGTACCAAACACCAATAAAACTTTTTGTGTGGTGGATAAATCAAAGGTCGCTCATCTCACTTCTTGTTAACATTTTGAGTTAGCATGATGTTAAACTTGAGGTTGTGCTAAAACAATCTCTTTCTTTGAATTTACTCTGTAATTTCTGACATATTTCACTCACAAGAGCAGATTTAACATTTAACAAGCAGACATTTTGGAAAGCAGTTTTTCATTGTTGTCCCACGACTGTCGATTTTGCTGAACTGATAGTTGGTGCTAGCAGAGTTTGCAGTAACAGCTGTAGCTGGTTATCTAATTAACTCCATTATCTGGTTAAAAACACTCTCCAGCTGACTTTTAAATGTTTCCATCTGACTTGTAACTTTAAAAGAAGAAACCTAATTATTATCTTAATGTGTTATATGTATGTGATGGCTACATACACAATATGGTCCTAAAAGACTAAAGCTGCTTGCCTCAAGTGAAAAGTCATTTGTTATATATAATATAATAATAATAATAATAATAAGGGAAGATGTAGAATCATACTGTTCTAATTGTGTTTGACTGCTTAGTTTTATTGTTTGTATTATTTAACAGAATGTTTGAGTTTAAATGTTAAGACTTTTAGGATTAACACTAACCATTGTGTTTGGTTAATGTTAATCTGTTAGCACAGAGCTGCTAATGTTAGCCTAAATGCTCACTTAGTGGGTAAATACTGTGGATGTGCTAGTCATGACTTAGGCTTTCTTTTGGGGCTGTAAACCCCAGTTAGTAGTTGCAGTATAGCTCCTACTATAGCCTCATGCACACCGCTGCAACACATGGAGAAATCCAAAGCCTGACAGACCTGCTGTTGCTAAACTGTGCTTGAACAGCAATTGCTGTTTCGAGGAGATGTTTAACGAATAGTCAATAGACCTTTTTCACAGGAGCCATTTTTTAGGGTAAACACACGTGTTCTGTTCCAATCAGGTCAAACTGGGTGAGGTTGCTGCTATTGTGCATGATAGCTTACTGGAAAGGGTCTGCTACACTTAAACGGAAACAGAACCTTAATAGTGCCATTGATAACGCCTGTGAATACCCTATTTCATGTCAAAATGGCAGCTGTGAAAAGGATAAATTAAGCACAGGAGCTGGATGTCACACAGTGTATGATCAACGCGAAGACTGATTCCCCCTCCTCCTCTCATTTCTTTCAGTGTACCTTTGAAGGCTGCGGGAAAAGGTTTTCTCTGGACTTCAACCTGCGCACACATGTGCGGATCCACACTGGAGACCGACCCTACGTCTGCCCTTTCGACGGCTGCAATAAGAAATTTGCGCAGTCAACCAACCTAAAGTCTCACATTCTCACACACGCCAAAGCCAAAAATAACCAATGAGAGCCCATCCACCAGCGTCAAGCCACACCGATGAAAACGGAGCAGCGGCACATGTGAATCCTCTTTCAAAGACGGAATGAAAAGCTTGATTTATATGAAAAAAAATCTGAGTAAAAGACTTAAAAACACTGAAATTCAGCTAGTTTTCCTGCGTCCCCTTTCTTCTGCTGTCATATTGGATGAGGAACACAGTGACTATTCCCCAAAGCCCCGGCCAACACAGTCCCTTTGTTTCTCCAGAAGATGGAACTCATGGACAGACATCAGAGACTTATTTTTACCAGAGTGAGGAGAGAAGCAGCAATCTATTAGTATTTTTATTTTCTCACATAGCTTTTATTTTCCTCAAGTGTGCATATTGTACACTTGACTCGGGCTATGTTTAGTAAAATTGTGATTTAGTTTTTTTTGTTTTCCTCCTGCATTATGAGATCGTACCTGATATGATACAAAGGCCTCAGCCTTGTGTGACCTGTTTCACATGTATGAGAAGTTTAAAAACAGCTGTATGTTTGCATTTCCATACCTTTGGTTGTATTTTTCTCTAACCACAAAATAACCTTGTATACTTGTATTGTATGGCTGTATTGAAATTAAGTAGACATAGATAGAGGTGTGATTTAAAGTGTTAACCAATTAAACTTTTAGTCATGAGTTGCTTTATATTTTCTATGAACTGTCTTTACACAGATGAATGAGTAATATAAACTTACTCAGAGCGTGTCTCAGTTAAAGTATCTGAAGCGTACATTGAATTGACTGCGAGACCATCACTTTCTTTGTTAGAATGTAATGTACAGACGTCAACCATTAACTTCCTTTGTTGATATTTACACCCATGTATCTCAACTGCCCACAATAAAATGGGTCATTCCAACCCTGTCGAAATATACCAACACTGATTGATATCCTTCATACATTGCCTTTAACTGATAGTGACAGCTGAAGAGTGACAGAGGAGATGACACCCAGCAAAGGGCCAGAGGTCGGAGTCAAACCTATGGTCACTGCAGCAAGGATTCAGCTTTGGGACATGGGGCGCCAGCTCTACCAGGTGAGGTACCGGGTCGCCACAGCACACCATGTTTTGAATGTGTTTTTTTCTACATTTGAGAAAGCCTTTCATAACATGCCAGTCATGTATGAAGTGCTGCTTTAACATATTCTAAATCTGCTCAACAAACAAGTGAAAGCATTCATGAAAATGTCATCAGTGGGTGAAATTAAGAGATACTTGTATGTGTTACATTACTTTATGCTATACTGTACAGCGTATAAAGCAGTTAAAATTAGCTCCACCTCAAGCAGCATTAAAGTATTGCTGATATGTTAATGCATCAGTAGTAGTGATCCAATAATATAATCATAGAGGGGTCATTCTGCATAATGAGTGCTTTTATTTATGATGCTTGCTTAAGTACAAACTTGAAAAAATGCAGGACCATCACTTGCGATGGACCATTTATACATATTTATTTATATATATATATATTGCTACTTCAACCTATGTAATGATCTGTACACTTCTCCCTTCAATAGATGTCACAATACATCTTCATGCTTCTTTGTTTATCAGAAGCCCTTTTGGCTAAACCCTTGTGACTCCATCCAGAAATATTCATAGTCATACAGAAGCTATGGCTCCTGGCCTATGCCCATAGGCCTGGTCACTAATCCATGAAGAACATAAAAGGTATTAGAAAATATAAGCACTCAAAAAAAATAATCTATAAACAGATATTCTGTGGGAATGAATGAAATGCCCCATCACAAAATTTTTGGGCTGCAACTAACAATTCTTTTCATCATCAATTAATCCACTAATCATTTTCTAAATCAATGAATTCATTTTTTGGTCTGTGAAAAGTCAGAAAACAGTCAAAACGTCCACTTTTAGAGAAACTGAAAATAAATATGTCTTCATATGGTCTTCATATTTGACTCAGGATAATAGAGGTTCTAAAAGCTCCATCAGCTCAGTGGGATTTCCTTCCTCCCCTCTCGGGTCTCCACTTGCAATCTTTTAGTTTACTCATAAATCCATTCCCTTTTCTGCTCAGCCAGCAGGATTAGCACAACTGTCTACCTCAGCGTCCTGCTAAGTTCCTGCTCTTTGGCCTGATCCTTGGTCACCCTGCTGCAGACTCCAGATCAGCTCTTATTACTGCCCCCTTCTGGCACCAAATGACTTTACCCAGGTGCCAGTGCTATCCATGGTGCTGAACCCCAGGCGGTAGATACACCAACATCATCAAGGCTCTGCGTGAGGAGTAAAATATGCTGTTTGAAGTTCCCTCTTTTTTAAAAACTCCTGTCCTCACTGTCTGTCACATAGAACGATCCAAGAGGAGGAGAAAAACAAAAGGGAGCTGCGTTGCTTTGTTTCTGCCGGGGAAATAAATTGATTTAGCTCCAGTGTATTCTTGATGTCTTATTGGCTTTTTCAGACTCCAAACAGCTCAGTCTCGCTGCTTGAAATTCAGAACCAGGCACATTTTACCTCTACCTGAGACCAACTTTGACTGGAGTGATGTGTAAGTCCACCCTCTCTGTGTGTGTGAGAGAGAGTATGTAAAGGCTGATTCAGGCATGATTCCACTTGGGGGTCTCTGTCTTCTTTCTTTCTTTTTTTTTTCTAAGGCAGGATTTATTCACAGGATTGGTTGTTTTGATTGACAAAGGCAGGGGAGAGTAAATGCGCTACTTGTTATGCAGCTGAAGTCTGTCAAGCCTCCAACACCTGCTCTCTTTCAGATGCTTATTTCATTATGGCTTCTCTCTCCCAGGAGTCAAGGCACTTGTGTGTGGGGCCTTTTTTTTTTTTTTTCTATTTTTAAGTCTGTGCTGCATGTTTACCTGGATGCTTTTCCCCCTTTCTTGCTTTCCCTCTCTTGCTTTGGCCAAGTCTTAGTTTTCTTGCAACCGAGTGTGATCTTGCCTACAATCTCGACGCCTGGGTTTCCTTTCATTAGTTTGTCTCCCTCTCTGTTGCACTGGCACCAAGCAAACAAAGGTTTATCACACTGAAATATACCAGGCAGCCATAGCAGTGAGATACCCACAGTTTGCTGCACTAAACCCCTTCATCTGTGAGTGGAGACTAAATCAGGAAATCCTTACAGATCTACCCTCAGCCCTCTGTGCTTTTTATTATTTATTTTACATTTCCTAATAACACTTCTGCAGGGTTCTTTCCCTCGCTTGTGCTCTGCTTGTCAAGAGCTGAAATACATAATCGTGTGATGTTAGATGTAAATAAGTCCTGAGGCAGAAAAACCCCAGTGTAAACATTCAATTGTATAAGCTATGTCTGACATTAATTTAATATATTCTGTTTGAATCTTCTTATAATGTAAGACACATCTTTAAGCCCATTAAAGGTGAGAAAACATTATACTGCAAATATAGACTTTGTACAAATGGGCCTATATGTAGGTATACGCTCCACTACATCCATGGTTACATTTCGTGAAAGCCTGTCAGTGACTATTATGCTTAACTCCTCCATTGCTCCATCACACAGCCAATTTGATGGTAAGGCACGCAGGACAGCATAACTTAATTTCATCCAATCTGTAGGTCAAATCTCTGAACTTAAATCTGTTCTGGACACGTTTAAATCTCTTGAAGTTCCGGATTTTTTTTCTTCTGCTGTGGCCACAGCAAGAGATGCTATTTCCATGCAGAAAATATGTTGCCAAGGTAACAGAGGCGAGAGTGAGTGTATGTGTGTGTGTGTGTGTGTGTGTGTGTGAGAGAGAGAGAGAGAGAGAGAGAGAGAGAGAGAGAGAGAGAGAGAGAGAGAGAGAGAGAGAGAGAGAGAGAGAGGCTGAGATACCCCCTGAATACCAGGACTGCCGCTGCAGACGTTGAGCACAACGCTCCACCCTGTCAGCATCGCTACAGCAGATTTTAAAGCCGTGTACAACACTCGTTACATGTCTGAAGGCTGTCTTTGAATGCTTTAAATGTCAAGACAGTTAGGGTTTTATTTCAGTCTCTATTTGCTTTAAGCGTCACACCAAAGAACAGTACAGGTTATAATTCATCTTTCAGTTTCCTGCTCTTTCTACATCTCACCCTCTTTGTCACCTCTGGTCCCCTTATCAGCTCCCTTTTCTCTCTCCCTACCCAAGATAGGTCACGTTTCTCTCGTTCCTCTGCCTCGGTTTCTCTCTCTCTCTCTCTCTCTCTCTCTCTCTCTCTCTCTCTCTCTCTCTCTCTCTCTCTCTCTCTCTCTATCCATCTGTGTACACCTGTCTCCCCTCTCATCCTCTCTCTGTCTGTCAAACTCAAAACTGCTTCATAGGCACGGCCACAATTAACTGCACTGTTGCGAAAGTAGGTTGTACAAGGTTTTCAATGTAAGTGTGATTATTCAAAATGTTAAAAGGGCAATGAATGGTTTGCACAAAAAAAACCCACAAATCACCATCTAATCATTAATGGATAATTGTTTAGAACATTTATTCTGCAGAAAACCCAAAGATGCTGCTTCTAACTTCTCTAATGTGGTGAGTATATCCTGCTTTTTTCTGTCTGTAAAATTTTTGGATTGAAACAAACAATGTGAAAATGTAATTTATGAAATTCTGATGAGCATTTTTTACTATTGTTTAACACCTAATAGACTAAAGGATTAACAGATTCTAATGGTGGAAAGTGACTAAGTGCATTAACCCTACAGGTACTGTACTTGATTACAATTGTAATGTACTTCACTCAAGTATTTCCATTTTATGTTACTTCATACTTTTATTCCATTTACATTTATCCGACAGCTGTAGTTTATTTAGCAGATTTATATATTACATTTAAAAAACATGAAGTGATTGTAAAATACAATGTATTTATAAAATTAAACCAGTAATTCTCAATCTTAAATAAGTAGTGTTCAAGGGGCTTCTTGTCATGTTTCTCTCTTTCATTTCAATAACTGTTCGAGGTCCAAAGATATCAGTGTAATATTCCACAAACAAGCAAAGATCACAGAAAAGTTTCGTTAAAACTAGCTCCACCTCAACAGCCACAAAAGTAAAATGCTGCTTATTCATGCCTCACTATAATTATGTTATCATTTATCAGTCACAGGGGGCATTTTTCTGCAGCACAAATATGTCTAAAAGTTCATTTTGCTGCTAATACTTTTGTACCTTTACATTAGTATAATTTTGAACGCACGACTGTTGCTTGTAATGGAACATTTTTACATTGCTTTATTTCTACTTTTACTTCAGTAAAGGGTTTGAGTACTTCCTCCACCAGTGACAGAAGAAAAATCAACAGATTAATCAATAATAAAAATAATAATTAGCTTTAGCCCTGCAATAACAAAGTATATTTTAAAGAGAGTGCTTTGAGTCTGACAGCGTGTTCTTGGTGGTGAGTTTCATTTTGGTAAAACACTTGGTTCTTCTGTCTTTATACGGACACACAGTATTACTGTTAGTTTTGCTCAGTCTCTCTTGCTTTTGGCAGACTGACTCAGTCGCTTTTCTCAGGGTTGCCAGGTTTGTCTGTGTACACCAGTGTAAATAGCCAGGTTGTGATCACTTACTCAGTATCCACTCTGTGGTCGTGCTCAAATAATCTGCTTAGTCTGTTCAATGCTAAATAGCTTTGAGCTCACTTCATGTTTTCGTAGTACAATAGACGTTCTTTGGCTGTGATTTGTTTGGTCCAGATTGTGTGAGGGTTGTCCTGTTCTGTCTCTCACTGTAGCCTACACCAGTTTCTCTCTCTTTCCTTCTCTCTCCCCCGTGCCTCAGTTCCCCCCCCCGCCATCAGCTAGCAGACGTCAATCACAAATCGACCTTTATTTGATTAATGCTTTATATGAAGATCCTTGTCACGTCCCTGCTTTGCTCCGCCTGGTCATTACAAAGGTGAACTCTCTCCAAAAGAGCATAGCCTCTCCCTTTCAAATCACTGACTGTACAGCTGTGCAGGGATGTGATCAGCCTGCAGGTTCTACATCGTCAAACGTGGTCACAGCTACATCAAAAGACCTTTAAAGCCTTGTTTATGAGGAGCTACCTGACATTCTCAATTTTACCCACAGTGGCTCTGTCCCATCAGCTTTCATGGATGACAAGTGATCAAACAACAGCTGAGGGGACATTGCACTGTTATTTTCTGTGCATATCCCCCATGTGTGTAGGCATGTACACTTTACACTTTATATGCCCAATTAGTGTGAAGTTCATGTTAAATGTGACACCATGGTTTGATATCTTAACTTAACAAGCACACTTAGATGAGATCACTCTGAGAAATAAATAAGATTAGCACACAGAAACACAGACAATTCATAATCCTAGTGTGAGCTGGTTATGGAAGCCCTAAAGCCATGCAGATATCTGTGTGCGTGGATGTAGAACTTATTCAGCAATGAGAAAGTGAAAAGCAAGCAGGCAGGCAGTAACGTGTAATAGTTTGGGACTGCTTGGTGATTATGCGATGGGTGAGCAAAATAATATGGCCTACAACCTCCCAACAGTTTCCTATCCTCCATTACCAGAAGCCTGAAGCGATAACAAGATTAGCATAAGCACTTTTAGTAAGTCACTGTGAATGGGATCCTTAAAGAGGCTTAAACTGTCCCCCCTTCACCAGGAGCTGATAGATAGTTGGGAGTTGACTGGCACATCTGCTTGGATGCTGCACTGTTCTCTTAGTGATCTTCAACACTGGCAAATCAATGAGAGATCCATCATTGGGGACACTCAGTGCACAGACACAGAGCAAATCACTTCCATAAGCGATAGCAGCTATCAGGCAAATGGGCAGAAAATGGTTCCTAATGGTGCCTGGTATGTCTGGTGTAAACTGCAGCCAGCCTCTCTGTCGTCCATCACCCTGGAGCATATGTAACTGAAAGAGGGGAGAGGAGAGGAAGAGGAGGAAGCATCTGTTACTTCAGCGTGGGAACCCCTCGGGGGGCACGGCGATAATCTGGGTTCACGTCAAACCAAATCTGGTGTCTGTGCTGCGGGATGATGCTGTGTCACTTAGTGAGTCTGCGTGTCAAACAGTGGAAGTCACTCAGTCAGCACCCCTGGTGTGTGACCTTCACTCGGCCAACTCCTCCACTTTCTGATGGGCTTGCTCATTCTCTCTCTCTCTGCTTCAAAATCCTGTTGGTAATTGAAGTATAGTTGACTCAAAAGCTGAGATCATAAAAAATGAATGACTCCCAAAGCCTTCTCTAAACCCCCTTGAATGGGCAAAGTCAGGCGCAGGAGACCACTGGTCAAGAGGGGAGTAAAGTAGTTTCCAGTGTGAGCAATTGACATCATAACAGGACACTTGGCAGCATTAGTTGTCAGCTTTAATCATGAGTTTGACTAGACAGTAACAGTTGGAGCTGAGTAAACAAGGAAGTCTTTAGTTTAGATTTGACCATTGCAATTATCTTCCCCCTTGCCCAGACTGCTGTTTTCCCAGAAACAGTAATCACATTCACTATTAATGAGCCATGATGTTCATCCTGGACCCATTTACTCCTCTCAATAATGCATACTCTTTGGAATTGCCTGTGCATATTTTACACTGTGCCACCTCCCCTTCTGTGTGCCCCCCCCAAGAGAGATATCAGTGGTGTTTTGGACGGATTCGCTATCTGGCCCTGGGCTCCTTCTACGCGTACTCCCCGGGATAATGCTTGCCAGGGGAACAATGTCTCATGTGTGACTCTGACTAAGACTGCCTGCTGTGCGGAGATAATGAAACACTGAGCTGCACATGGAGAGCAAGAGGTGCTAACACACTTGTTGAAGGACCTCAGTCTTCTTCGATTAAGCATTTGTGTTACCCCTCTCTAACTGTGATTCTAATAGGCTCTTCAGTTTGTTGAAATAGGCCCAACGATCTCTTTAAATAAGACAATTGACCACAAATTGGACACATCAATGCCCCAATGTAATTTTCCCCACATCATGATTGTCATTAAAAGCAGGCAATTGTGGCGTCTGAGACCATGTTGGTTTAAGTGCTCCGTAAAGGGACTTGTTCTGTCAGAACCAACTGAAACTCACACAAAGGAATGAAAAGCCCATTAGCAGTGACAGCAGAAAATGAATTTAATCAGTGGAACATTGACGCTACTATTGAGAAGAGGGAGGGGGGAGTTAATCAAAATGCTTCTGACGATCACTCTGACCCCAGTGGCATTTGAGCAGCATATCAAATCAGCCCAGACTGTTTGTGAAAGGCAGGTCAGACTCAGAAAGATTGGCATGTTCAGTCCTCAAGTGGGCCAAGGGGTGCTGGGGGGTTGGATGTGAGTGAGGGTTGTTCGGGAACATGACAGGACTCTTGCAGTTGAGAGGAGTGAGTCAGCATGATGCAAGACAGTAGATTGGAGGTGGGGGGTGGGGGTCAGATGGTAGTGAGGTGAGGAGGAGGACTAGACAAGGGCCAGGAAACACATTATAGGGGTTTGGAAAGCGGGTCAGGCTTATGCAGTGTTGTGAAGGGGAGCGTGCGGTTCTGATCTGGCCGCAGGGCTCACTCCACTCTGCTCATTGCCAGACCTCCAGCCGAGGTCTATCACCCAAACTCACCCCGTCGCTGCGCCCCCCTCCCCCATCATCCCCTTTGTGAAGGTGCACTGAATACCGAAGACCCAGAGGCTGCATGGCTGGCTTTCAAAGGATGCTCTTTTCTCTTTCTCCTCCTGCACTCCTCGTTCTGTTTCGCTCTACATTCTTTCGTACTCTCAGCTCCCTGTGCCCTCTTCCTCTCGTCTCTCTTTCTCCGTGTCTGAGCTGTCTCGCTTTCTTCTATGCACCTCTCGCTCCTTCTCTATTTTCTTCATCCTCACCCCTGCCTCTCTACCTCCCACCCTCCTCGGCGTATTTGTTTCACAAAACCTTCCATCTACTCTTCTCTGCTTTGCCTCCTCTCCTCCCCTCCTTCTCTATCTCTCTCTCTCTCCCCAGAAATGCATCTATTATTAACATACACCTCTGGCTCTCGCCAAAGACTGAACCAAGGTTCAGGCCAAGCTCCTCAGCATTTTAATCACTCATAATGAGCAAGAAATAATGAATAAAAGGGCTTCAATCCAGCCTGTTTGGGTGACAGCAATTAATTTATGTCTTACAAACAATATGTGCAGCTCATCTTAACAGGTTTTCACTGCACAGTGCTGTATTTTCAACGCAATCTGCTGTTTCCCTTGAGGTTTCATGCTGTGAGAGGCATACCAGAGCATGTATATAAAAATCAATCAAGCAGCATCCGACCACCAAAATACACAGTGAATCAGGGCTCAAATTCCAGCAGATAATGCATATCATGTCAGCCCTGCTATCAGGGACACATTACTGTAACTGTAGAATTAGTCGTGCACGGTTTCCCACTGCGGAGGTTGTGTTAAACCTCTCCTGCGGCAGGTTTCTGCAGTGGCTGCCGTCCGAGGGCTCAGGCACGGCGCTGTCAGACGAGTGAGGAGATGCGCAGGCGAAAGGCGTCCCCGGTGACTAGCATGGCCTCTTTTCATCATCTGCTTCCCTCCTCCTCTCTTTGAACAAACACAAGGGCTCAGGGCAGGGATCTGTCAGAGGTCCACCACTCACAGAGAAAGGGGAATTATGTTGCTGCAAGACTACTGAAACCCCAAATTCATTACCGCTTTGGCTGGTGGAGCTTGCTGAACTAAGGGATGCATCTATTGTTTTGTTCTGAAACAACTTTACAGCACAGAGAGGAGCTGCTTTCTAAGTCTGATGTGGGGGAAAGTTGGAGAATTCACAAAGCAAGCTGAAAATGAGATACGTCTGAGTATGTCCCTTTTATCACTGGTTTATTTATACTGGTAAACATCAAACAGAAACAACAGCAAAATCAAGAGCTGACGTCCTCTCATACTTGTGATTATTGTTTCTCTTACATTGACAAGTTAATTTACAATGGCTGTCATCGGCGTGACATGATAACGTCAGTAAGTAAAAAATATGGAAATGAACCATTCCTCTGGATCTCATCCTCACGTAATATCAGATTACTTCCCGCACCTGTCATGCTGTTGGTGTTGGTTCAATTGTCGCTCAAATCAGTCACGACAGGAATCCTATCAGAGTTGAGTCTTTATGTAATTATGTGATAAAAATGTATTGATTCAAACCGGAGGGCAGTATTAGGCTGAGTCGACTTGTGCCACAAAAATACTGCATTGTGCTGTGTCTGGGAGTGTCGGGATGAAAAGATGGAGCGTTGTCTGTCTACTACATTCTGTTCCAACACCTCTGGGGATGTAAAGCACATTCGTAATCTCTCCAAACCACCGCCAAGGTAATTAAGACACGTCACCGTCTGTCTGTAGAGCTGGAGACAAGAATCATGTTCAAAGTCTACAGAGATTGTATCATGTTAAGTAACAGGCAATGAGACTGTGAGTATAATAACCCCACCCCCTGCGTGTGTCTGTCTTTGTTATAATACAGTATGTCCAGGTTACTGCATTCAATACCACATGAACACTTATGGTTGTGTTGTAGATTTACAGTATCTCACACAACTAAACATTTTTGTACATTTTGTTGTTATTTTATACATTGTTGTGCCTTTCATCAAAGTTTGATCAAATGTCATTATAAAGAAGACTTTGATTGGTTATAAGGTAGAAAACAAATGTGAAACGTTTCCCATAACCCTGTATGCCTGCCTTGCCCCCAAATATATGAGAGGAAGTTTACAGGTCCCTCGATAGAGAGCACAAAAGCTCAAAACAAGGCATAAAATCCCTGTCTGTTTCACAACGGGCCACAAATCCAATCCAAGAAAACAAGAGAACGCAGGTCATAAACTCCAAATCATAAAGTGCTCTCCAGAAGCCACTCAGACCTGGAGAGCTTGTCCCTGGCCTGGTGAATGTTTGCTGTGCTCTCGAGCTGCGGCAGCTCTCCGCTCATTGACAAGCTCCGCTTGGAGCGCAGACTGGCCCCAGTTTTGGGATAGGCCACATAGCAGCGCTCCCTATATGAGTCTGCATTAAGGGAGTGCCTGCGGTTCACCCTCACTCCTCCTGCAGGCACAGTCATGTAATGCTGAGGGGCCTGGTGTGGCCGTGGACCCCTGGGAACAGTAGTCCATTTGGTGGGCTGGCCAGGAACAGCCAGAGCAACGGCAGTGGCCATTTTGACCTCTGATGAGTTATTCTGGTTCATGTTATCGAGCTCTACATCGGCCTGAGCTTCAGCTCGGCGAGCCTCTGAGGGTTTTGGTGGAGCACTGGAACGTTTGGGCCTCGGAGCACCTGGGGAGGCCGGGTGCCAGCTGTGGCTGGCAGCAGAGGTAGAGACAGTGCAGTCTGGGACGGAGGGTTTGGTGGTGGCTACAACGACTGGCGGGCGCTGCTTGGCTGGCTCCGGGGGTGGAAGGACAACTCTGAGGGAGTCCTTGTCATTCTTTTCTGGACGCAGGACCTGCTTGGAGAGGGACTTGGGAATCCCACAGCCCTGTAGCTGTCCATCACTGCTCAGTGACCGAATGTCGCCCATCTCTAGAGCCTGATGTGACAGGAGACAAGTAAGGGAAGAGAGAGAAGAATGAAAGCAATTCTATTAGACACTCCAGCTTCAATATCAACAGAAATAATGAACAGACAAAAGAACAGAGGGAATCATGCCAAACTGACCTTATCTGCATCTCCTTGGTTACACACCCGGTAGCGCACAATGAGGAAGATGATAAAAGCGAGCACGGAGGCCACGATAATCCCTCCAATGATAACCACAATGGTGCCGCCAAGAAACTGGGACTGCATGAAATGGCATCTCAGGTACTGAGGCTCTGTGGTGAAGTGGACACAACCTATCACTCTGGTGGCGGTCAGCGAGGTAACCTGGTCATCATAAATGGCCAGCACACACAGGTCATAGTTTGTACCAGCCGCCAGGTTGTTTACCAGGATGCTCTTACTGGTCGGGGGTATCATTCTGTAAAAAGACAAAAAAACCTTTGTGAGTTCTGACATAGATTAGAGGGGGTTAAATGAAAGGAGACAGCAGCAAATCAGATTATCCAGTTTATTGTTTTGTTTTTTTGTTAGGATAAAATGACATGACAATCATCTCTCAGGGGGGCTATTTAAGATCTGTCTGGGCATAATCTTTTGTGACATTTGATTTATTCTCTCCAGCATCATTACTGATAAAAGTTTGCTTTCAGTCACCGGAGAGGCAGGCTGCCTCCATTTCAGGATCAGGATTACAGAGTCGATTCCCTAATGTCTCCCGAATTCAGTAGCCGATGCCGAACACCATATGTGTTGTTGACTTCGAGGTTCTTTTGGAAAAAAAGGCATCTGTGCGACCGTCCTATCATATCACAGTGATTAGCTCTGAATATGGAGTGAAAGGGGGTAGAGATGAAAGAATGCTGTGTGCGCTGCTTTCTCAGATGGGCATGTGTGAAGCCACTGATGCTTTTTGTAAAACACTGGCTGACTACTCTTTCATCTTCTATCAGTCCACAGCTTAGTGCTGACATTCGGGTTTGATTTTGTTGATTAAGCATTATCAAGGTTTTGCACATAGTAAATGATACACTCCGGGGAGGGGGGGGATTATGAGTCGAAGAATAAGAAGTCAGATACAGTGCATTATTCTGTCTGCCTGAAGGGATTAATAGAGGCCACAAATAATCATGTTGACAGCCAGGTCCAGTTCTAAATGACTTAATATGCAAAGGGATTTAAGCATTCAAAGCAGACTATGAAGGTAAAACAAGGGTCATTGGATTTTTATAATGTGTTTCCAATCAGTATTCAATCAATCAAGTATTTTTACATTTAGATACAGATTTTAGGTTTTGTTTACTAGATTAAATTGCATAATTTGGCCTGCATTTTAAGTCTGCGCTCCATTTTCTTCTTTAACTTATATTTGATGCTTTGTATTAACCCAGCAGGTCATTCTGTTTACCTGTAAACCAGTGAATCGTCATAGGTGCCGTTATATTGGATCTGGAACATGCGTATTCCAGGAATACTCCTCTGGAAGTTAAACCTGACCAGGGCCGAGGTGGATGTGGTCTCAGCAATTACTACTTTCTTCTCCTGGCTCGTCTTTGCATTCCCCAGAGGCAACCCTCCCCCTTCTGCCCCCGTCTTGGTCACTGTGGCGATATCTGATAATCCGGGGTCAGGCTCCCGCTCTGCGACTGTGTTGTTGGTGATATGAGGGAGTTTAGCAATGACCAGATCCACCGTCTGCTGGGCCTCGCCTGCCGGGTTGGAGGCCACGCAGGTGAAGGAACCTAGAACACAAACTAATTTGATTATTATCCTTCCTGGCATTCATTGTGATACACAGATACGTACTGTAGAACTAAAACACACATTCGAGTTGCAATAAAAACAAATCTAATCATATTTAAAGAAATAGTTTGACATTATGGGGAACTGTCAGAGGCCCCAATGTCGTGAAAGATGATATTAATTTATCTTGTGTGCACAAGATAAATAAATATTATCTTTTGGGAATTCAGGGGCTCTGAGTAATACACTTTCTTGCTTTCTTGCCTAGAGTTAGATGATAAGATTAATACAACTCTCATATCTGTCTGCCCGTATATGTAAGGGTACAGCCAGCGGCTGGTTAGCTTAGCTTAGCATTTTGGACATTTGACATTTTGCTTGCTTTGAAAAAAATCTGCCTGCCAGCACATTTAAAGTGCACTAATTACCATCTTACATTTCTTTTGTTTAATCCATAAAAAAACCAAATGGTGGCATTACTGGAGTTTTTTCATCACCATGAAGTGGCTCCCAGCCAAGAAATAGCACGGCTCATAACCCCCCATATCTTTATATTTAACGCAGACATGAGAGTGCCATCAATCAGCAAGAAAGCAAATAAGCACATTTCTTAAAATGTCAAACTCTTTCAAATTTGTAATGTTTAAACATGCGTTGCTTTAACCACTACAACATAAAGGTGTCAGAAAGCACAGTTCTGTAAATATGACAGAAACCAACCATGACATCAACATGGTGAAAAAGTAATTTGTCATTCCATTGTCACTTTAATCAGTGTGCAAGCCAACACACTCTCTCTCTTCCACACTCTAAACTTTATCACCTGATGTAGACAAATACTTAAGTCCCACAGTCTTCGGCGCACACAAGCAAACAACTAATTTTGTTCTGTCAACAACACAAGCGCAGCCACCGGGGTGTAAACAGACCGGAGTCCTTGACAGTGCTGATGAGAATGTCCAGCGTGCCGTCTGTGTGGACCGCAGCCCTGGAGGAGTTGGACATAAGGCGTCCGTCGGGGGCGATCCAGTGGATTATGGGGTCAGGGTCGCCCCTGGCCTTACAGCGCAGAGTCACACTCTGACCCTCCAAAGCTCGCAGCTCCTGAAGCGGAGGGAGGCAAGGCAGTTAGAGGGATGACTTTATGTTAAATACAGAACAACACTGATTAGATAATGCACTAAATACAAAATCTGCAAAACACTTTGAACAAAGAGTAATTCTTTGTGCTGGAAGTTTGGCTTAGAGTACGACAGTCTGAATAACTGAGATATTATAATTAATGTCCATATTGATGATGTTGTGTTTATCCGTAGATATAATCAACAATTGATCATTGTCGTGATATTGAATTAGCATGATGATGAAAGCAAGATAATCAATATGACAGTACATTGCAGTGTGTATGATGGCATCCAAGTAAAAGATAATTTTCTGTGCAATTATGCAAAAGAGGTCTGCTGAATGTAAATGAGTTGATATAGCTGTAGTTATTTGGCAAGGATTTGATCAGATAATTTTGTTTGGATGCATGAATCAAGGGCTAAATTACTGTAAGCTTTCACTGTGTAATAAGAGCTTCTCCGCGGATCCATCATAAACCTTCAAATAGCTTTATTAAAACTGAAAATCCTACTAAAGAACTTCTCTAAAAACTCTCCACAGGCCACAATTTGATTACATTTTTTAAGTAAGTCCTATATATTTTACAATACTCAGTTAGCTGAGCGCCCCAGATGAGTCCCACAAGTCTTGTAAGACTCTTCTGGCACACAAAGCTAATATTTGGTGTGACAGTCAAAGAAAGCACAAAGTGCCACCTTGGATTAACTGACACAGAATCCAATGTGTGGCTCAGAGAGTGTAACAGTAGCAGGTGTTATGTCTTACAGTGCAAAGCTCCATTTGGAGGTAATACCTGAGAGTGCCTGGTGATGAGAGGAGGCTCACACAGGAACTCTTCCTCTGAAACAGTCCAGAAATAGCGTCCGGCGAGGTGCTGCGGTGAGGCACAGGTCTCCAGATCATCCTCCCTCCGCAACCTCCGAAGCCAGAGCAGTTCACAGTTACACCTCAGTGGATTCCCTCCGAAGCTCAACGCGAACGAGGAAGGGCCCATTATCCCAGAGGTGGCCAGGACCCCAGCTCTCTGAAAAATAGGGTCAGGAGGAAGCTTCTGGAGCTTGTTCGAAGTCACGTCCAACCTCTTTAGCTTCTGCAGGCCAGAGAAGGTGCCCTCTGGGATGTAGCTAAGCATGTTGTGGTCCAAATTGAGGGTGTGGAGATTGGACATCCTCTGAATGGCCACCCATGGCGCACTTTCCAAGTTGTTGTAGGATAAGTCCAGCTCTTCCAGCGCTGTCAGATCATTAAAGGCCCCAATATGGATGTGGGTGAGCTGGTTGTTGTTGAGGATGAGGTGGTGCAGCTTGGACATGCCGCTGAAGGTGTCGTTGGTGATGCGGCTTAGCCGGTTGCTATCGAGGTGAAGAGCTCGTAGGTTCTCCAGATCTTTGAAAGCATGAGGCGTGATAGCGCCAATAGTATTCCTAGAGAGCGTGAGGTCCACCAGCTTGGTCATGTTGGCAAAGTCTTTGCGTTTGATGCTGGTTACAAAGTTATCCCCAAGACGCATCTCCACCGTGTGCCTGTCGATGTTTGGGGGCACAAAGAGAAGCCCCTTTTTGTCGCACAAAGTCGCCAGGTTGGGGTTAAGCATCTGGCAGACGCAGCGTTTGGGGCAGACCTGAACTTTGTGGGCCTTCACAGCCACACCGAGGACTATCAGATAAACCAGGAGTGACTCCATTTGGCTTTTCAGTCAGGTTAAAACACCTAAAAAAGATCAAAGCAAAAACAGAGAAAAGAAGGGCAAACTATTTATTAAGTAGTTAAAGAACACAAAGCATGAAATCTGTGATTGGAATTTGTATCATCTTTATCAAGCTGTCATTTTTGTAGCTCGGTATTCACACATGCAAATAGAACTGGGGGATTCTTCTTTGTAACGTTGAAGCTTTTCTGCTGGATTTGAAACACTATCATTGCCAGCTCACAGCTAAGATTTACAGAGATTCCAAACTCTGAGCAGGAAGCTCAGCGAGTCAATGCCTGAACAAACAATAAATGCTGTGCAATTAGACATGAAACCAATTAGTCACCTGCAAACTTGAAAGTGAAACATCCCAAGTAATCTTGTGTGATTTTTGTGACAGCTCTCCTTTTGAGCCCCTGCTCCCCCAATGGTACTTTTTTGATATGATAATGCCGGTCCTTTTATGTTTGTGTACAGAGGGATGAAAGTCTAGGCCTCGTCAGAATTAGACTGATATCTCCCAGGATCATATCGCCAATAGGAAGGGATGATTGGGCCCAGTGCCTCAGTGAGGATGTGCTATGCCTTGCTATTGATTTTCTCTCTGCTCTCACTGCTGCTACTCTTACTTATGACACAACTGAGATGGGGGATAAGGAGGGATCCATTTGATGAATCCGGAGACCTTGTCAGGGATATAACATGTCATAAAACTAAGACAGTGGAGATCAGATCACAGCTCTGCAGGTGCACCACACAATGTACCAGAGCGAGAGTGACATCAGCTGTGATTATTTTTAGAACTGAAATTTAGTGTCATTTTGGTTGAACATGCAATATTCAACACTCTGGGTGTCCCATTACAACACACAGAAAGGAACACCGATCCAATCAAACACAGAGAACAAGAGATCCAATCCCACAACTGTAGTAAAAATCCAATGGCTAACCTTTAAATACAGAAGAGAATGGCTGATTTATGATTATAGCTTTCTGTGATTTGCTGGTAATGCCTCCATTGTCGACGTTGGGTCTTGGAGAGTGTGCATAAAAATCTTGCCTCAGCAAAGAGCTTGCCAACTGAGTAGCTTCATGCTTCAAAAGCTTCTGTTGCACCGGAACTGTGACACACAACTCACAGTGTAATAACCTTGGCAGTCGGGAGTATGAGGAAAATATCATTGGGTAAAGAAAACATCAGATGGGATGGGAGTGACATGCTTGCCATGTGGGGGCACGTTTTAATGTGAGTAGGGGAGCGAAGGAAGCCTGGTGGCATCCACTGACAACAGTTGCGTTTTGACAGCCGGGTAAAAATGTATCACAGCCTGACAAGAAGGCAGGAAAGAGGTCGCCTTAAAATGGCCCATAATAGCAAAGGGAGGAATGATATTATTGGAGAGAGCATGCTGGGTGTGACATTTTCATGAATACTGCTGATCAAGCAGCAATGAATCAATGTCTTTCTCGACCCATTTTTACAAGGGACAACTTTACCAAGTCACACAAGAGCCCTGTTTTGTGGATTCTAGTCTGGGGTGCAGTGCTGCAGAGATCTGCGTTGGTGAGAAATGGACTGTGGAGTTGATTATTAAATGTTGTCATGTCTCCGCTTAAAGATGGCAGATGACTTTAAAGCCATGTGTAGTGGTGCCCAAGTGCCTATGTGGAAACTTTAATATCTATTTTAGGTGTTTGTGTGCATCAGAGGAGAGTGTGCGAAAAGCTGAGGCATACGCAAGTGTGCTCATGTTGGTGTGCCAACCACCTTCTGCTCTGACTCTGAATGGCACGGCCTCTGGATGTGCAATGAGGCGGAGAGGACCTGCTACTTCCAGACTGGAATGGCGCTGAAGACGTGATATTGATTCACTCTGTAGAGATGGGGCTTTTTTTCGCTGCTGAAAACTCAGCCAAACGTGAAGAGAATGGTTGCAACGGTAATCCCTACAAAATTCGTTCTGTGAGGACAAAAGGACAGCCCCTCGCTGGTGAGACAGGGCAGGAAATATCTGTTGCTGTCGCCCTAATTTGCATTTAATTATGGTTGTTCCATGGAGATTTGCATAACAGGTTGCACTCATCAGGTACATGAACAAATAAGTAGATAATCAATCAATGCATTCATCAATCACGCACTTCATCTTTAAATGTCACACCCCCAGAAAATCATTATCCTCCAAGTTGGGCTGTTATTATAGTGAGGCGACTTGGGAGGGCCACAGATAAACAAGAAAACAGATAATCTACTGATGCATTAACCATAATCTCCTTCTTAGTCAATCAAATGTTCGTTTACTACCTCTGAGCAGGTCTTTTCGCCCTCAGAGAACAGAACAGACTGACAGCACACACCCACACGCGCACACCAGTGGGTGGATTTGTGCCTAATAGAGGTAGCTCACTACAAAACAACCCCCAGCAATGGAGACAGACATTCATGCGCAGCAGCAGAAGCAGCAGCAGCAGCAGCAGCAGCAGCAGTAGCAGCAGTAGCAGCAGTATGCTGTAAGGAGAGGATATCTATGGTGTCCCTGGGGCAGCATTCGCCAAGAAAAGCCTTATGCAGCATACTGCATGCCAATCGGCCGGTGAGGTCATGGGGGATATGTTTTCAGATGGTCTAACTTATGCTGGAGCTCATGTGAGAAAGCCTCTGCAATCCACGTCTGGGCAGGGAATCAGGGAAAGCAGCCCTGCGAGGAGAAGTTAATGAGATGAAGTCTGCTTGGTATGCCTCCACGCAGGTCGACACGATGGCACATGGCAGCGTCTCGGCAGTGTCTCACCTGGGTTACACTTGGGGAAAAAACAGCCGGACGTGTGCTACTGCCAAAAATAAACTCTGTTGTGTCAAGGAGGTAAACTGATGCTGCAACATGATGGTAAAATGGTATCGACAAAGCACTGAAATGGGTCCTCAGCCTGCCTGCTTTATGAGACCAAATGGAGCTGCCTGCATCTGCTGAAGTGGATCATATTTTGACTGAGCTGGTACAAATTCTATTTTGTTGGGTAAATGCTCGTTGTAGCCCGAGTCCAAACATCCTGACCAAACATTGATGCTGCTATGGGCCGTCTAACTAACACATCTGTGTTTGTGAATGTGGGTATGTGCTGTGACACCCTTTTCCTACAGAGTCTGCCAATGTTAGAATGCGATAGCTCTTGGGTGACAGCCTCGATGCCATGGCAACACAGAAAACGTCAGTTTTGGGTGAGATGTAATCAGTGGCTCATTTTCAGATCACCTAATAATATTTAGAACAAAGAGTCCTCTCTGCGGGAAAGGGCCTTGACAATTGAGGTTCTGGTTGATGACCCTGTCGTGATGAGGAGAGAGCAGATTTTACACTCAGCTAATTTTGTATTGGAGTCAGTGTTTGGAGTGACTGAATCATTACAGTTTTTTCAGTCTGGCACGTAATAAAAACCTAAATGACTTGATGTAGAACTCTGATATAGTTGAAATTATTTCTCCCTCAGACAAGCTTGTGTGGGAATGTGTGTGGGAATGTGTGTGTGTGTGTGTGTGTGTGTGTGTGTGTGTGCGTGCGTGCCAGGGGGATAGCATACTAAGCAGACCCCACTGCATCAATAGAAGTGCTGTTCATCAGCATTTACAACTCCCCCTTGTAATTCCAAGTGTTTTCCTCCACACACTATCACAGGAAAATTTTGTGAAACCTTGATATGCTGTATATCTCCTGACTGGAGCATCAGTCCAACAAATAAACAAACACTCATATTCGTACTCTCTCATATTTTAGATGCTGTCTTCTTGCATTAAAGCAGGCTGAAAAGGCCAAATTTAAATGCTGATCACTGACTTTGGATCTTAACTCTTGCGCCGTTGTGACGTGCCCTGATGTGAGGGGCTTATGACTGGGGATTTTCTTCCGGAAAGAGGAATGCAGAATATGTGAACACCACCTCTGAATATCAATATGGCCTTCTCAAGTCAATATTCTCCACAGAATGGGCCCGCAGGTCTGTAGACTTTCAAATATGCCAAGTCCCAAGTGCAATTCCAGGTACAGAAGTGTAAGAAAAAGCCAATTCTGTACCACTCTTTGTGAAAGTATTATTCTGTTACATGGGCTTTTTTTCATGTTACAGCCTCAATGTGGGGAAACAGACAGCCAAAATGAAATCCACTCTCACTGTATCCACTGATTCATTTTCCCTATTTCAAAGACCCTCAGGATCCTGTGTTTTACCTCGCACAGCAACAAAAAGGCTAAATAATGCATAATCTTCTCTCTCTTTATTGTGTTGTGTAATCAAAAAGCAACTCACATACACAACATGTGGACCAGGTGTGTGTGTGTGTGCAAGTTTGTGACTGTCAAATAATGTGTTTCAAGTATTAATGAAAGCACTTCTTCAGCAAAAACAAAAGCTTATTTTGTGGTGAGTAAAAATTTGGGTCAGTGAATGTCGAGCTGGTCTGCAGAAAAGCCTCGGTATTCAGGAACCACATATCACTCCCCTGCTATCAGTGAAAGGTAGCAGCATTCGAGCTACATCACTGAGTGCATTAACATAGCAGTAAGAGCAAATAGAAGCAGCAAAATGAGGCGTGGGCCTGATTTCACTGGTGTAGCAGTTACAATGGTGCCTCAGGCACTCATGAATAACAAGAGATGTGATAACTAACACTCGACATAAGACAAGACCATTATACCTCATCCTTGATAAAAAAAATCAGAGACCACATTTTCACCTGTCTTCATGAGTCACCTGGCAACATGTCCCCCTGCCCACACACTCATCTTATTATCAATTTTGTTACTTAGTCTAATTTAGACTTTATCACACCTTAATGACTGAGGTGTAATTTGCAAATCAGCTAGGGTTTAACCACAGCACAGACCAGCAGAGAGCCTATCACTAGATCCTCTGTGCTGATAAAATACACAATAAAACATCTCACATCTGAAATCAATCTTATCCTGCACGCATCCGGGAGAGAGGGCTGAATAATGGCCACATTAGGCATGATTCTCAGTGTCACCTGTAGGGAGATGAAAAAAACAGCACAGACTGCAGAAGTGGATACTAAGAATAAAACTGCTATCTGACGGCTTTCCTTGGCAATTGAGGAGCTTTTTTGACCTTGCGGTACAGGTCCTGGGCTGGTGGGTTACAGCCACAACCCCTGTCACAATGGAAAATCTGAACCTCTCAGATGGGTCCTGGGAGAAGTACTTCAAGTCAATATTGCGCCTCTTGGAAGACAGTCCCCCCCCACCCCCAAAAGAGTTCAGAGGCTACAATTCACACCAATTGCAGCCTATAAAAATATTGCATTTACCTTGCAGATGAAACATGAAGCCAAGTCAGAGGAGGGTGCGTTTGAGCTGATTTCCTCCCAGGAGGACTGAGAGCATTCTGAGAGCGTCTTGCCTAAAATGGGACCGACGGTGCTTTCTTGGAGATAATTCAGGTGTCCCGAAACACGCGCCTTGGCTCCTATAACATGTGACGGCCTGCGAAACCAGCGATGCCCTTCAAGAAATCCATGACCAGCAGATAAAGGACGACTCCTCTCCAATCCCCTCGCACGGGAAAGATGTAACTCGGCGTCCCCCCTTTCGAAAGAAAAAAAAAACTGGAAAACGCAACCTGAAGGGTCCCGGTGTGGCTTCGAGGCTGCAGCTGTGCGGGATCGCCTCTACTGCGCATCCGCCTGTGTGCACCTCCAGAAGAGAGAAAACGCCTTTGTAGCGACAGTCTGCTTTAATATCTACAGCGCTGTGTGAGTGACTGGTGCTGTGCTGAATTCAGCCAGATGTTCGTATCGCTTTCACGGGGTTTTGCTGGCGACGCAGGGCTCAGTGCGAGTTAATCCAGATTGACTGAAAGGTTGCTGCCATAATATGCCCCCCCCACCCTCCCGTCCTTCTGCCCCCGGACTACTGTCAACCACCGACCCGGCTCCATTTCTGACCAGAGGTGCTGTGCTCGGAATGGTAATCAGCGCGCTCCGAGCTGCACAGAGACCATTTGTGTGCACAGACAGATGCAGTGTGCCTCCCAGCCTATCTCACAGGCAGGCATCATAATTTATTCATGTAGATTGAACTCCACTGCACGAAAATGCATTTGGCTTATAATATTCTCTAAAAATTTAATTAAATTAAAAAACAAACAGATAGAGATGATCATCAGATTTAGGCGTGCAGGAGATGATAAATAAGTCAGGTAATAACCAGTGTAGGCCTAAATAAGAGTGTTATTTTAAATCCATCCATTGCTTTAGATGAAACGTTTGGTGCAGGTGCATCTAAAGCCAAATATAGCAGCCTATAGCTGAATATTGCTGCATGTATTACATAGATTATTGGCAAGAAAGTGTTCAGTTGGCTGAAACTGAAAGCCCTGGCTCCCAGTGGGTCTGCTTGGCACTCCACCCATCACTATCTGATGCAATGATCCTATGGCCTTTTGTGCAAGTTGCCTATATGTTTATAAGTCTATTACAGTACAGCGGCGCAGAAGTCTTCTCGCAGACTCAGTGTTTTTTATTCCCAAGAACAATGACCTACATACTGATCTCAGGGCACTTTGAAATAGGTGTTCATTGTCATCCACGGAATTACCCTGAGGATTTCTACTCCGGATCAATAGCTCCATCCAGCTACAACACATCCACTTGAGATCAATAGAAATAGCCTAAGTGGTTTAATAGTTATCCAGAACTGGGATGGCAAGAGCAATTTAAGCTGTTTATCAGACTGTATGTGTGCGCACAAAGTCACTGATATGCTATGTGAAAAATATCCTGCACTCAGTTTTTGTTGTGATATCACCCAGTAGCCAATAGATTCATTTCAGAGGTGATTTTCAGACTGAACACATGTTGGCTTCTTGCACAGAAAACCCTGTAGAATAGCTTATTCTTCACCAGCCACAACAAAAACATGCAAGCATTTTGCTGGTGGGATGTGTTAATGTCAAGGCCTGCATGTGACCCACTATGAGTGTCTCATTGGAGTCATCCTGAGCTGACAGTTTGTGATATGAAATGACACTAACATGTCTTGGTTTTTGTTGAATTTTTTTTTTTTTTTTTTTTTGTTTGTGATTCACGCCAGACTCCTGCTCACTGACGCATGCTATCCAGGAACTGCTGGAAGGTGAGTCTGTCTGCCCGTTCTCCAGTCCGGCTCTTTTTCTCCAGGAACAGGCCCATGCTGTCCCGTGGAGGGTCAGCGATGCTGCGACTCCACAGGGTCTCTGTGATCCCCAGCAGCTCGCGCACACGAGCAGAGATGACCTGCAGGGGTGCACAGCAAGGTTGAGTCCTTTGATAAAGTATATGTTTACAGTATCTAACCTTTATTTAATAAGGTAGACCCACTGTGTTTGAGAGTGTCTAGTCTTTCAAGCACCTCTCGCCAAGATTGTAGCATCATGGGAAGAAAGGTTACAGGGATACACTCCAAAAAACAAATCCATCAAAGGGCTTACAGGCTAAACCAATATAAATTATGACTAAATAGAGCACGCGAAATTCTGTACCGAGTCTGTCCGTCTCAAGATATGTGGTTTTAACCTCTAAGCAGTCCTGAATACATTCAGGTGCTTTTACCCAATTAAGTTCTGACCTCAGAGAGAAATAGGAAAAACAGCCGCTTTACCTGATAACAGCACATATTTGATACAGCTGATCTGAGGTGTCTGCTGGCAGTGAAGCTCGGTTACACCTAACTTTAATTGGATGTCTCACTGTTCAAAGACAGAGCGTTCAAGTGCCAAATGGGATGTGCAATTGAGTTATCACAAACTAGACACCAGTTTTCTAGTGTTTACTGTCCACTTAGAGCTTACAAAAGAGAAGCAACTCAGAATTATTTCTATAGGTTTCTCTTTATTTTTATTTTCTTTTAATTTGCCTTTAAAGACTCAAATTAATGTCCATACCACAATTTGCTTATGTGATGTCCAGCATATACTTGTTGACTTGGTAAGTTACGCTACTTAAATGATCACTTCGCAAAATTTGAATCAATGAAGACAAACTAAGCGGTAAGAATAATATAAATTATAGTAGTTTTGACAGTGCCATCATTATCTTGGTGTAATAGCCTGTTAAAACTGTGTGAGCCTCCATCTTTGATATGTAAACAAGTCTCCATAATAACATCAGTCTCTTCTGGAGGCTAGAATTAAAAACTCTCAGTACCTGCATGTCTTTAAAATCTGTGATTCCAAGTCTTGGCAAGTAGACACAATTTACATAAATGAGCTTTCTTCCGGTGATGAGGTTCTCCGTGAAACATGCCTGCGACAGAAATGAATAATGACATGAGAGCTTTGTAAAGTGAAACATTACCTTCGGCACATATTCAGTGAGGGTTAATGTTATCTCTGTTTAGTCAGGTGACTGTTAACATACTCTGTATTGTGGAAATCCTAAAGACTCAATCCATCTTCCAACATCATGACAACTCCACTGTAGGAACTCCATGTTGCCTGTAAGCACGTTGCCATGGAAACTGTTACCTGCCACTAGGTGTTGATAAGTGTTGCCTTCGTACATAAAAGCCCATGTTGTCCAGCAATAAATATATATTCAAAAAAAGTGGCTTCCCGACGTTGCTAAGGCAACTAGGCCACAATAGTTGAGTGCAGAAGGATTTTAATGGCTCAATAAAGTAACAGGGAATACGCCAGTCTGTGTTTGTACGAACAGCCAATCAGCTTCCTCCAATTTAGGGCGGCTTGTAAATTCCGCGCCGTGATTGGCTTTCAAATCGGGTATGTCCCGCCCACACTGAAGGGAAACAGCGAATGCCGCCTCGCGTAGTTTTCCCAGATCAACAAATCATGTGCGCTAGCGCCACTCAGCGCCATCCGAACCGACAACGACTTGGAGATCGAATTAAAGCGCAGCACTGTATCCCGCCACTCTGTCCTCTGCAACATTTCTGCTAGCTAAAGTTCTCTTTACACTCCCGTGTCTTGTGGGTCGGTTGAAGGGCTTCGGAGCAGGAAAAGTGTAGCTCGACTCTCCACAATGGCAGCAATTCTCCTCCGGTCACTTCTGAACAAGAAGGTAAAACAAATACATTTTTACAGAGCAGTTGGTTTCAGTTAGACTCGTATTTAAACAGCTAACAACCTGCGCTGCTAGCTAGCAAAGTCGTTGCCTAACATGCACGCTGCACACAGCCCACTCCTCCTTACTGCGACCATTTAATATTTATGTGCAATTTAAGTCGGGTAGGTGTTATTTACGTCACGTTGGACAGGGCAGACGAGCAATGGGGCAGTCAGGCTTGGCTCTTATTCATTAGACCTTGGACAATGGGTTTAATATGAACTGAAGTTGACTCTGGGGTTTTATTTCTTGCAGGTCCCCCTCCAGCTGAGTCGTTGTTACTCCTCCTCCTCAGTGGTAAGAGCTTCCACTCACCTGCTTTCATAATCAGCGATGAATGTTATGTCTTTAACACAGGCTCTTCAAAGTTTGAGAAGTCTCCATACTTTCCATATGCCACATTTTGATTATTGACTGATGTATGATATTTAACATAAGCATTTTTTAAATGATCCTTTACATTTCGTTGTTAAAATCTTGTGACCAAGATATGTACCAACTAAGGAAGTATACAGTTTTTCTGAAATATATAAACTTTTAAATGTTTCCTAGTGGGCAATCATGTAATGGAGAGACAGTTTCTTTCTTTGAAGTATTTTTTGGGTCTTTTATTGCCTTCTATCATTAGTGATAGCTGAAAAGGGGCAGAAAAGGGGGGAAAGAGAGAGGGGATGACATGCAGCAAAGTGCCAGAGGTCAGCGTCAAACCCATGGCCGCTGCAGCAAGGACTCAGCCTTGGTACGCCAGCTTTACTAGGTGATCTATCAGAACATCCAATGGAGTTTGTCAAAATGACAAACATATTATGGTATTTTGTTATTACAATATCTATTTACTCGGATAAGCTATTATGAACTGATTGTACTGCTCTATTATTATCAATTAGGTTCCACAACAAAAGTTGTCCACATTTTGATGGTTGTGACAAATTCCTTTAACTGGAAATGTGTGCGAGGTCTTGTAGTTTGTGACATGAAGTCAAAGAAACTATATTTAGACCTTCAAAAAAATGATCGTTTTGAGGTATAAATCCAAAAAGGGGTATTTAAACATTTTTATAGCCCTCGAATCCTCGAATGTTTTTACAGTTTGTATGCAAGAAATCAACATACTGATTTGCAGGGAGTGATAAAATACATATGGTGCTGGATGTTAATCAAACTGCCTCTATTCCTCACAGTAGTCTTCATCATCACCATCACTGTTTACATTTATGATGTCTTATTTATTCTCCTGTACAGCACTTTGGTCAACTTTGGTTGTTTTTAAAGTGCTTAACAAATAAAGTTGGATTGGATTGGATATTACATTTCTATTATTCATTACATTGGCGGATAAAATGTACATCAGCACACTTAAAAATCAAGCATTTTGATAATATCTATGCTTACTTAATTTTATTACGTACATGCAATATACTCAAAAGCTGCTTAGAATAAGTGTGTATTATGGGATTGGGAGACTGCTAATGTAACATTGAAGCATCTGAACCATCAACAGTGTTGTCCACACAAGAAAACCCACATTTCAAAATATTAAATTAACCAGTAACAATAATAACTGTGGGTATAGAAAGGAAAGAGACTTGCTTTAGAAAGTCACTGTATATGCTGTGATGGATGGATGTCCTTAATGAACTTAGTAGTGATGTAACAAGGCAGGAAGAGATTTAATCACATGCTTCTGTGATCCTCTAGCCCACCACCAAGCTGTTCATTGATGGCAAGTTCGTTGAGTCCAACACGTCTGAATGGCTTGACATTCACAACCCCGTAAGTATTCATAGCTGAACTATATCCAACCTGCGAATTGGCTGCAGTAACAACTCCTCTAGTATAGTATAAGTTGGCTGCGTAACCAGTGCAACTCTGTAGTCGTTATACTTATGAACACTGGTGAGGGAAAAAAATAGGTCTTAATTTGCCAATTTATAGTATTTTAGTTTGTAAAGTAAGAGAAATCCGTCCAGCCTGTATAACAAGTCTTCCAAAAGTCCAGCCTGCTGTAGTGTAGCGTGTATAAATAAGCCTCTAGCAAAGCAGTAATGGAGGATTATAGCATGCAAAAACAGCCATCTACTTACTTCACATAAAATATCAAACTTGTAAAGGATAGAAAACATTTGGTTATTAATATTAATGAATTAATGCACATGCAGTAATACCAAGTAAAGACTTCCCCTGCCCTCAGTCAACTTGTCTGGTATGGACTGTCTCCCGCTCCTCAGGCCACTAATGAGGTGGTGGGACGTGTTCCCAAAGCTACCCAGGAAGAGATGCTGGCGGCTGTGGACTCTTGCTCCAGAGCCTTCCACTCCTGGTCCGAGATCTCCATCCTGAGCAGGCAGCAGATCTTCCTGCGCTACCAGCAGCTCATCAAGGATAACATTGTAGGGAAATTTTGTCTGTTGCTCATACGGCTCTTTCAGTCTATCACCAATATGTTTCTGTTTCAAGATAACCACTCAGAGAGAAAGGAAATAGTGCATGTTTTTTTACTTTTTCTCTTGAGTAAATCGTTGTTTTTCCTCTTATATTTCAGAAAGAACTGGCTAAAATAATCACCTTGGAGCAGGGCAAAACTCTCGCTGATGCAGAGGGCGATGTATTTAGAGGACTCCGTAAGTAAAGCATGACCTTCCTAGTATACTATTGGGTTTTGATATCCCAATTAGATTAGAGTGCTGGTGAATATATAGCAGGGATCAAATTCCCTTGTTCAAAGTATTGTCAATAGTATCTGTGTCTCCTGATGAAAAAAGTCTATATATCTTTGGCAACCCTTTATGCCATTGTCTGCGTGAACTAAGTTGCTGCAGGGTGTCAATTATTTTCGTGTAACCAGACACTCCCTGCGAAAGTGACTTTCACTTTTAAATTAATAATGCTGCAAAGATTCTGTTTTGGCCGTGTTGGCATATAGAGGCTTAAACTGCTTTTCAAGAGGCTTTCAGAGTGTCCAATTATAACAAAACAAAGGTTAAGGAAACCATATTTCTGCAGCATCACTTTGTTAAGTCCTGATGTTAGCGTGTGACTACCTAGTTTGTTTTATGTAAAACAGGCTCTGCTTTTAGTTGTATGCTATATAAAGGTAATTATGCAGTCCCACTCATTAAGATGCACTTTGGCTGACTTGCATCAACAAGAACCATGTGGAGAAACTGAAAGGGCCATGCAGATATATTTTGGTTATTACAAGACAGAGCTGCCAAAGTATTTTTTTGTACTTGGTACAGTTCCCAGTTTTTGGGATGCCCGAGTTATTCTGGCATGCTAACTTTTAACTTATCAGTTGCAAGACAGGCTACATCTGCAGGTGTGCTGCCAGTAGTAAAGATTTCCTACAGTACTGAGACCAATAGTGCTTGAAATTTTCACAAGTTCTATTACAGTTTACTCATAGGGAAAAGAAATCAATTAACAGTTAGTTTTTTCTTTCTTAAGAAAGAGGACGATTTTAATGTCTGCATTACAAAGCATTATTCATTTTGTACTTTTAAAATCATCTTAAATAACTCATTTTTTTCTTTGTAATGTTAAGAGATACATCCATTTGTTTATTGTGTGTCTTGTATGTTTATCTCCTCACTTTTGTATTGGTTTCATTCATCCTTTTCCTCGTCCTCTTCACCCCCAGAGGTGGTTGAGCATGCTTGCAGCATTACATCTCTCATGCTCGGGGAGACCTTACCTTCCATCACCAAGGACATGGACACTTACACCTACCGTCTGCCCATCGGAGTGTGTGCTGGTATTGCCCCTTTTAACTTCCCTGCCATGATTCCTTTGTGGATGTTCCCCATCGGCATGGTATGTGGCAACACCTACCTGATGAAGCCCTCTGAACGTGTCCCAGGATGCACCATGCTCCTGGCAAAAATGCTCCAGGATGCTGGGGCACCAGATGGTACACTCAACATCATCCACGGCCAGCACGCAGGTGAGTGTGAGTGTGAGTGTGAGTGTGAGTGTGAGTGTGAGTGTGAGTGTGAGTGTGAGTGTGAGTGTGTGTCTCTCGATGTTCATTCAGACATACGCAATCTGTGTTTGTAATAAGCAATGGGGGAAGGTCCAAGGATGATTCAAACACTAATCATATACCCCCTGGCAATATGTAGATAGGAAATTTCCATAATATGCGCAGCCTATATCTGCAAGTAATCCACGAGTGTTTGAGGCAAGAGGATTTGAACCTCTGATTTCAAGGCCTTTGTGCTCCTATATTGTGCCTTAAGGGTGCAGCACAGATGAAAAAGAGAGGATTTACAATATCCATTTGTATCTTTGTGTAGCGGTGAACTTCATCTGTGACCATCCTGCCATCAAAGCCATCAGCTTTGTGGGCTCCAACCCTGCTGGAGAACACATCTACGAGCGGGGGTCCAAGAACGGCAAGAGAGTACAGTCCAACATGGTACACCAGAACTCATTTTACTAATTTTTTTACTACTACTGTTACCAAGACTCCGTAATATCACTGATATTTGTAATATGCATGATTTGCATTGTGCTGCCTCTGTTTGACGTACTACAGTCTAACTTGAGAGAAACCCTACAGAGCCGTGTCCTACATTATTCATTTTAGGGTGCCAAGAACCATGGTGTGGTGATGCCTGATGCCAACAAAGAGAACACCATTAACCAGCTGGTTGGTGCTGCATTTGGAGCAGCTGGCCAGCGCTGTATGGCTCTCTCCACTGCTATTTTTGTAGGGGATTCTCGTGAATGGCTCCCAGAGCTAGTGGAGCGCTCCAAATCACTGCGCGTAAACGCAGGTAACTTCATTAATGACAGTGTCAACACAGATTTTCCAAGCATTTCAAATAGTATTTGTTCTTATGCATTTTAATATAAAATGTTGCAGCATGATACTGACCTTTTTATAAAGGGAAATTTGACATGTATTTTATCCTAAAGGCGATCAGCCTGGGGCAGATGTGGGGCCCCTGATCTCTCCCGACGCCAGGGCCAGGGTGGAGTCTTTGATCCAGAGTGGGGTGGATGAAGGTGCCAAGCTGCTGCTGGATGGAAGAAATGTCAACGTCAAAGGATATGAAAATGGAAACTTTGTAGGACCCACCATCTTGGCCAATGTTACGGTGAGATTTGTCTTAGAGACAAAGGGTGCAACATGGTCACCTTTTTTCTTTTCTTTTTTTTTTTTGTTTACTGCAAGAACTGTAAGTTCCAGTTTGATATTTGTAAGTTGCAGAGAGAAAAACACATTGTTTGCTAGGAAATTGCAGGAATTCATTTCTGTGGAGCTTTTTGTAGCTATCGAACACAAGAAATATGTTAGCTGAAGCTTGTTATTATTTGAAATCATATCCCCGCAACTTGAATGTGTGTAACTGTTAGCCTTAATATTGTCCATCTGCTGAGCAAAGGTTAGAACAGCTCCACAGTTCTTATATCCTGAGGAGAAAAAGTAATTTCCCAGGTTAAGAAAGCTAATAAAATGCTTTTTACTCCTAAGCCTAAAAGGTGGACTACTCTGTGAGTTATGGGAACTTGGGACAGATTTCCCTGCCCAGACAACTTGGCTGTCACAGTACAGACTTATAAAACCATCATCTGAATAACATTTTCACCACACATCAAGGTTTTCTGTTATGGTTGTGGGACGTGGCACCTATTAAAATAGAAAGTAGCTTTTAAGTGTAACTAAATGCATTTAAAGCACTAGTTGCATGTTTTGTTAATCTCTGATGTAATCATTCTTTCCAGCCGGACATGAAGTGTTACAAAGAGGAGATCTTTGGACCAGTGCTTGTCGTCCTGGAGGCTGGCGATCTTGATGAAGCAATTTCTTTGATCAACAGTAACCCCTATGGCAACGGCACCGCCATCTTCACCAACAATGGAGCCACAGCGCGCAAATACACACATGAAGTGGACGTTGGCCAGGTGAGGGAAGCTTTTTACGAAGGCTGAATAAAATGATGCTGGAGATATATCACTATTGGTTCTACACTATTGGTTCTACATGGTCAAATTGACTGTCGTTGACTTTTGGTGTTATTTTGGTCCTCAGTGAGTCACCTGTTTGAGACTTGATGATGAGTAAACAGTTTTGTGTGGGAAGCATTGTGACTAAAAAAGAAACGGACATCATTCATGTGGAATAGAAAAGAATAGAACCATTTTGCTGATGTTTTAGACATTAAAGGATGTGTTCATCGACCTTTAAAATAATACACACATGCTCAAATGTACATTGTAATGTCAGGAATTTGCGTGTTTTAAGATGGTATCACCTGCCAATGCATAGGAAGTTTTGGGCAAGTTTGCAGCAGCCATGAATCTGATCCAGATTCTATGTGATAATTGAGTCTCGCTCCAGTGGAGTCGATGTACAATTTTAAATGTATAACACTTCTCCTGCAGATAGTGAGAACATTTTTTTCATAACATTCATCCTAAATAAATTATTTGTCTGTGTCTCCATCACATTTACTTTTAAAGTTAGTTCGGAGGACCATGTAGTATACGTGTAAAGATGAAAATACATATTGATCTGTCACACCTGGTTTTAAACATGCCAACAAGTTACCGGTATGTATGATTTTTTTTTTCACGTGCGTCTGCATTTGTACAGATTGGTGTGAACGTGCCCATCCCCGTCCCCCTCCCCATGTTCTCCTTCACTGGCTCCAGAGGCTCGTTCAGAGGAGACACCAACTTCTATGGCAAGCAGGTAAATAACAAAAACAGCTTGTCATGTGTTAAATAATAGAAATAATCTGCATCCAAATAAAAACCTGCACATGTACGGGATAGCTGACACAGCAGTTGTCTCTCTACTAACAGGGCATCCAGTTCTACACTCAGATCAAGACCGTGACGTCACAGTGGAAGGCTGAGGACGCTACTCTGACGAGCCCAGCTGTTACCATGCCAACCATGGGACGCTAAGTTGACAGCACGTCCAGCAGAACCGTCACTGACTTATCGTATGCCTTAAGAAGAAGCACACGGAGGGAATTTGAAAAAAAAAATGTCCTTTTCACTGTTGAGAAATAGTCACACGGGGGATTATTAGCTGGTGATTGTTTGAACTGTGAACATCGTAAACAATGTTGTTGCACAAACACACACAAATGCAAATTAGACCTCATTTTGATATGGGGGAAATGAACTGGACTGATGCAATGAATGGTGCTGTGAGCCTCTTCATGGGTTTCTTGTGTTTTGTATCCGTTTTCTCCTGTTGTGAGCCGGTGGATGATAATTTAATCACAGTCAGTTTTGTGATCAGCTGTGCACCCTGGTATCACATTTCTTAAACCCTACAGTAAAAAACAAAAGGATCAGGGATTCTGCATTTTAAAGCATCAACCGTCTTCCTCCAGTATCCTCTGTGGTTCTTTGGCCTGTTACAAGGACACTCCCATTCACTACACAACTCCGTTAAAACTGAAACAATGGTTGCTGAGTCCTCTAAATGTATATCCTACTGTAAACTGTCCAGTGTTGGGATTAATGTGTCTTTTGTGTGTCTGATAGAGGTTCACAGTTTTGTACTGTATTGTCAGAGTGATACTTTTTGTGCTCATGAGTGATATAGAGGTTAAATTGCAGTGTTTTACTTGACACAGACTTTACATCTGATATTCTTTATAAACCATTGTGACGAATTCCCTGTGATGAAACTGACGCACAGTACGTGCTAGACACCTTTTCATCTGGAGTATTTGAGCTACTTCAAACTTTGTCCCCTTGACTTCTATTTTAGGTCTTGTGGCTGAAGATTAAGAGATGATGATAATGGTATTTGAGTCTGTAGTTCACTGTTTGAATAAAGATTTGACTCAAATTAATTCTAATTTGTGTTCAAATGGTCCTCTGGTTTGTTGCATTTGCCATTATTTGGTATGCTGGAGCAAAGAAGGTGCAGGTCTAAATGATGCCTGATGAATTCCACAGATGGAAAGTATGCGATGATGTTTGAACTTGAGTTTTTCTGATTCAGCAATGCACAGCCTATAATCTTTTCTACTGAAAACATCCCACTCTTTAGACTGCCTGTGAAAAGTAAACATTGGAAATGATGCTGCTGCTGCTGGCAGAAAATGAGCCACTGAAGGCTTTCCCCATTGACAGGGTGGGAATTATATTGTTCTTAGTGGGCTGGCTGTTTTGTACTCAACATCTTTTATTGTGCCATTCACTGGTGAGCCCCGCACGAGACTCCCCACCTCGTCATCACAACACGGGTGACGTCACGAGGAGTCAGCCTCGAGGAGAGTGCAGCTAACCGGACAACATGGTGAGCTCGGACCGTGTGCAGCGTCCTGAAAACACTCATATAACTCTACATATTCTACCACTGTGGGGGGTTTTTTTGGTGGGGGGTTTCTTTCCGGAGTGTTTTGGGAGTTTAGCTTGTTGACAAACTTCACCGGCTACCTTTCTCTAATGTAGCATTCACGCTAGCTAACATTAGCTGTGTCTGGTGTGTTGTAAACAAACAACAATATGAAAGAGAAAGGTGGAAAGAATTCACTGTGGAGCGGATATCTCTTTGGGGTAACGTGTTCATTATAGCGTTAACAAGTTACCGGTAACGACTAACGAGCAGTTATAATCTCTTAATATTAAAAAAAAGGTCTGGTTTAACAAGCTAAAATACCCCTAATAACAACCATCAGAGCTGGAGTTGTTTTGTATAAATACTTGAATGAACTACTTGTGATCGTGTTGTTTTACATTACTTTGTACTGAATTCACATCCAGACGACACTGGCTGATAAAACATCCTGCTTACTGTCAGTGCATCACTGATAGTGGGTTATTAACTTTATGGACACTAACATTTTCTGGTTGGGTTCTGTTACTGCTACAATAAAAGTAGGTTTATTTTACTTTTAAAATTGTCATCGTCCGGGAAGGGACTTTTTAAATTCATTATCAAGTGAGGCTGCCCTAGGAATATCCTGCATATAAGCTCCCTAAACTGTCCCAAAAGCAGTAATATAATGGTTTAAACATTTTAAAAATATAATTAACCTTACATAACTTTATAAAAACTAAGCTTCTTGAAACTCCCAACACACTTTCAGTGCTAATATTTTATAAAATCTTTATTTAAAAAAAGGCTCAAGTATGCTCAGCAACAATAAACTCTTCAGATCCAATCATGATTCTTTTTCCAATCTAAATTCCACTCAGACATTATTGTTTATATAGTTTGACAGTGTTGATTAATACTGATATTTAACCATACATCTGTGAAAACGTTTTTAAATCAGGAAATTCTACAATGTGATTTTTGAGAACACTGAGTCTCTTTTTGTGCCTTTAGTCAGCAGGAGGAATACAGGTATTTAAGAACTACAAGAAAGTTTTCTAGAAATTGTGGAAAAAACTGAATAGGATTATAAGGTGAATTGAGTGAAGGCTGACACAGTTCCCTGTTTTACCCTGCCTCAGAGCACACTGTCCACTCTGGAGCCACAGAGTTACTTTACATTGATACAAGTCACTGAAGACATCAGTAAAACAATAGTACACACTCTAATACATGCTCTTCTCACATACTGAGGGTGTGAGACACCTCATATAATGAGATGGTCACACCACATTCATGATTGCATTGAATCTCCCAAAACATTTGACAGTGTCTGACACACATAACTGGTTCTGTACATTTATGAAGGAGGGTTAGTTGCATCTTCAGCTGGGAGTTGGTTCAAATCAGCAAGTTAAAGTCATACAGGGAAGCATGCACCCTTTGCAGTAGGCAAATAAAACCCATGAGAAAATTAATCTATAGTCCTTTCTCTTCTTTATAGATACCACTTAGCTTCTGAAACATTTCAGCAATAAATACATAATAAAGGAATAAAGGGACAGAACCAGGGGGCCTAATGGTAACGTCATACCATAGTTTCCATAACAGTCACATGTCCATTTGTAGCATTTCTATTAATTTATTAAAGTTTTCCCAACAATAGCACAAAATAAAAATGTCTTCAGTCTATGTTTCTATGTAAGCAGGGTGACAGCGTCTCAGTGGGGTTTCCCACAGGACACTGCTTGACTGAGGCCTTTAAGACATCATAATTCCTCACATTAGGTATCTGAGTTTTGTAGCGAGATGTTGAGACATGCTTCAGTTTCTGTGTATTATTGATTGAACATTAAGATCAAAGGATTAAAGTCCACCAATGTAAGTCCTACATGCTGAAATTGGGATGTTTTCTAAATTGTCTACGGGAGTTGACTCAGCAGGTAGAGAGGTTGATTTTGGGATATGTCCCTGTGGTTGGTCAGAAAGTCTGACGGGGAGTGGTCAAATGCCCTGGTGTGAATAACTGTTGCTTGTCATGCTGTAATTTAACATCTCCCAATGCTAATCAGCAACAGTTTGAGCTGCTTTTTATGAGCAGTTCAAAACAGTTCAATAGACTCACTGTTAAAGTGCAGTAACAGAAGGAGACCTGTTGGTTTTTTTGCTCATTACCCAGAGTCAAGATGAAGCTCACCGTGCCACTTCTACTCCTGGTCCTGCTCGTGGTCGCAGGGCTGAGCCGAGCCCAGGTCAAGACCTCTCTGCTGGATTTGACCAACAGTATCGGGAGCATCCTTCCCAGTCTCAGCCGACCAGCAAACCACAGCCGCATCTTCTATGCAGTAATGTTTGATGCAGGGAGCACAGGGACACGCATCCATGTCTACACCTTCATCCAGAGTGGCTCAGGTAATACTGGGCAGACTCTGACCTTCTTCCCTCTGCTGTTTTTACTCATTTTATAACATCAGGGTGAGAGGCAGGTTAAATCATGTGTGTGTTCACTGAAGCGAGGATGCCATGTAATGTATTTACATGGCCTGTGAAATACTAACCTCAATTGATTTACAGTGCAAACAGCAGAGTAACAAGCTGCTCTACAGTTTCTGTTCCTGTCCTCAACTTTCTCTCTATCCTCTCACTCCTTTGAACCTGTACCTTTTCACTTCAGGGGACAGGGGTTATACTTGACTCCATTAACTTTTTAAGCAATAATCCTATTTTGTCAGATTCGAGTCAACATGCCTCATCTTGAATAAGGGGATATATTCTGCATATGCATGCTAAGCAGATTTAGACGTCTTAATGCTTTTAATAGCTGCTGATATTTGATGTGGGTGGATCTTGTATCTTTTAGAGGAGCTGCCTGTTTTGGACAATGAGATGTTCCATTCCATAAAGCCCGGTTTGTCAGCATATGTCGACTCCCCTGAAATGGTGAGTTCATTGTGAATTCTAATCAATTACATTGAGCCAAACCAAAAGGTCCACTGGCTCTACATTGTACTCAGAAACACTGCCAATAGCCTCCCTCTGTGGAGAATCACATATCTAATTAAAGTAAGTAGGATGTGAAAATAACAAAATGACAAACAAGTGAAGATTGAAGCAGCCTGATATGTAACACTTGAAGTGTTTTCTCAACTCTGACCAGGCAACCTATTATCAAAAGCCAGTTCTGAGCACGTAGTGAGCATTGCCTCTGTTTTTAAAGGCTGGACACACGGTGAAGATGCTGTTGAAGGTGGCCAAGAAGACTGTGCCTCGTCTGGAGTGGAAGAGAACTCCAGTGGTCCTCAGAGCCACAGCTGGACTTCGGCTGCTGGCTGCAGAGAAAGCCCAGGCTCTTCTGGACCAGGTAAAAGAGTGCAATGGCGCTGATGACCTACTATTGGGATCTCTGTAAAGTGGAGTGCAGTTCTTTATCGTAGGGGAGTTGCTAGGCGCTACATTGTCTGACACTTTCAAAGGAAAGTGCAACCTCTTATCCAGGGAAGGAGCAGGCAGAAACATTTTCAGTGCTATGGCAGGTGGCACAGAGACAAGAGGAAGAGTATTGTTATCAGAGTGGTGTGAGCTTAGTGTAGAAGGGACTTGTGGCGGGGATAAGATAGTAATGGATGGCCCTGGGGCACCTTGGAAGATAAGTGATACTTTATTAATCCCCCTGAGGGAATTAATTAATCCCTTCAAGCAGAGGGCACCTCTGGATGAGCTACCATTACAGTAGATAACATTAAGGCCATTTCTCTGCTGCTTTCCTTGGCTCTCTCGTGCTCTCATTCTTCTTCTCCCTCCCCCCTCCTTTCTCTCTCCCTCTCATTTTGCCTCTCCTCCCTCCTCTTCTTCACCCACAGGTTCAACATGTCTTTGATGAATCTCCTTTTTTGGTCCCAGACAACAGCGTCAGCATAATGAACGGCACAAACGAAGGTAACGTCTGCCCACCCTTTGCCCTGACAAGTAACACATTCGTCAGTTATTGCAACCACTCATGTTCTTTCTGCAGTACTTTGTAGGTGGCATCAGTGATCCTTCTGCCCTACTTTTAGTGTGCTGTGCAATTTTTATAAGGAATCTTTGTTTACCGCAGAGATTTAACTAAATTACAGTAGATTATTGCTGTCTTTTATGATGACACTTAAATTGCTCCTCACCGCAAAGTTGTTGTGACCTTAAAGGCTGCAATTATGTGGCGAAAATTTGTTATTGTCTGTTGTGTCACAGTGTAATTGATATGTCAGCATTTCAGTTTTTTTTTTTTTAAAACTATAGCTCTTACTCACGTGTTTGCACATGAGTTTGTATACGGCAAACAGTAATTTCTGTGAAAATTTGTTGTCAGCTTTTCTCAAATGAAATGTGTTCCAGCTGAAATGACTGTTTTGTATGTCTTGATTTGCCTGTTTGCTCTTTAATGTAGGAATCCTGGCTTGGATATCAGTGAATTTCCTTACAGGTGAGTATTGTACACTCATGTCTACATGAGCTGCAACACAACACACTGAACTTCCCTCCTGAATGTGTTTTCCGAGCTCAGCTACTGTACATCTAAATTTAACTCAGTGTCTGAAACTGTCATAGTGTCTTATTATAGACTACTGGTTCAAAACTACAGGCTGAATGCATGCAATCATGATTTTGTTCCCTAAAGGGGATAGCTCTGATCCATATCAGGCTCAGTGTTGGGATTTTATACTTTTGGGTTACACTTTCTGTGTCACACAGGCCTTTTGAAGATAGCATCTAAGGTATAACTGATTAGCTCTTCTCTGTTGTTGCTGCGATTAAAGTAGGAAATGTTTTCAGGTCACCTGAAAGCACAAACCAAGAAGACAGTGGGAATTTTGGATCTGGGAGGAGGATCCACGCAGATCACTTTCCTGCCAAAACTCAGGGTCAGTTGTTCACTTGCAGATACAATCTGCAGATACAAATTAAACTCTTTAGTGATTAGCAACCAGATATGTCCTTCATATTCCACTGTAGAAAACCATTGAAAGTGTTCCTGTTGCTGATTACGTTGCCAGATTTGACATCTTCAACTCGACATTTGAATTGTACACTCACAGGTAAGAGTCTACAATTAATGCATGTTTCATAAAACAGCAATCCTACATTTTAATTATTTGTAATAGCACCGAATCAGTTCCTGATTAAATGATGAACTGATTAAGTTACAAATGCAACGGACTTTTGTTGTTGTAACTTCACTGGGATCTGTTTTTAATTAGGAAAACTTCTATTATCTGTTAAAACATTAGGATATGAATAATAGGCAGACCATTTGTTTGGCCTATTTTCAGAATGACTTACTTGTTACATACACAGTCTGTTCCTGGTTGGTTTTGTAACTGTATAACAATCCTCTAACTTCATCCAGTTACCTTGGAAATGGACTGATGGCAGCTCGACTGGCCACACTTGGCGCTTTGGGTGTAGAAGGTACTGTGCTGTACATGAGGAGAAGGCAGTCTGTTGCAATTAGCTGTGGGTCAGTGTTGTTCATTGTGAGTGTGTCTCTTAAGGATCCCGAAACACAGCAGTGAGTCAGTTCTCCAAGTGCTCTCTCGGGTGTTCTTTCCTTCCTACCCATTTCTCCAAATACTCAGTAAAGGAGTCAACGAGAGAAGGGTGTTATCGTAGGATGTACTTCAAGTCTTTCTTTCTAATAAACAATTCAAGTGAGACTCTAAGATAAGTCACCGAAGGCTTCAGAGAAAATTGTGTTAGTGAGTCAGTCTCAGGTCAGGGTGACCAGGTGTGAGGCTGTTGAGCCAGTTTAGATGAAACAAGTCATGTTCTTGCTCTCACAGGGTTGGAGTGGCGAGTTTTTAAAAGTTCCTGCCTGCCAAAGAAGTTCAGGGATGAATGGAGCTTTGGAGGGCTGACTTATCAAGTGAGCGGGGATCCAGATGGTAAGATCCGGTTTACTTAACATATAATCAGTCAGTATAATCATCGCTTTGAATATCCTTCTGATGGGCATTCTTGCACACTACAAATTTCCAGAGTAAGTGACAGATTTGAGCAAATACAACACTGAAAATGTTTTAATGCCAACCAACCAATCTGCAGTAATGTTTCCAAATCCAATTAAAATAGACTTAATAGAATTACGCATGATTTTATATTGTTGTTCCAACGTAAGATGCATAATTTACACTGTCTCTGTTTCCTCTCCAGGTTATGCAGGATACAAGCTTTGTTATCAGGAAGTACTTAAGGTGGTGAAGGGGATTATTCATCAGCCCTATGAGCTTCAAGACAGCAGTGTTTTCTATGCATTCTCCTATTACTTTGACAGAGCGGTGGATGCAGGCCTTATCGGTTAGCACACTCTCACACACCTTACATAATTATACAGACCTAGCAGGATGTTATTACCCATTCCAGTGCTAGACAGAGGCAGGACAATGTGAGTCATCTGCCCCTGTCTCAGTGGATTTGAGCAGCTATAGGTGTGTAGTTATTAGAGAAATTGCTATCCTCTGCCAGTCCAAGCTGAAAGGGCACAAACTGTGTCATTAGTATTATGGAAATGTGCACGAAGATCTGCTCTGGTAATTAATGGTATAGCGTTTTAAATATGAGGAAGATGACCCCCCAATCACTCCCTGTTACAGATGGGGTTCAAGGAGGGATGCTGGAGGTCAGAGACTTCAAGAAGAGAGCTAAAGAGGGTGAGATTTGGAAAAGCAATGCATCGTTATTATGACAGATGTGCAGCTCACTGTACTTGAGACACAGTGTGCATCTCAATAGTCTGGACTTGCGTCCTCGCTGCTATCTGAAACGGTGCCCTCATCCTCTCAGCAGAATACAGATGACTGATTATCCAACCTAACAGAGATGGTTTCCCCCTTTTGTCTGCTCAGTGTGCAATAAGATGACCAAGTACCCTCCCATCAGTTCTTTCCTGTGTATGGACATGACCTACATCACTTGTCTGCTCAAGGATGGGTTCGGCTTCAAGGAGAGCACTGTGCTGCAGGTGAGGCAGTTTTAGAAAAGTCAACAGGGTTTGTGGCCTTGCTTATGAGGAATCAACACAGGGAACAGACTAGAGTTGTATGAATCATAAGCTATGAACTCATTAAAAGACACAAGCGTGGTTGAGTTTAAAATAGCCTCCGTTAACATTTTAATAGACCCCAGGAGGAGACCATGACGTATTAGTGATTAGAGATGTCTATGTCTGACCATTACCCCAGACATGTTAAACACAAAGTAATTATTGAAGTTGTAGTGCACACTTTGACATAATAACCTAAAATATACGTAGTTTAAAAATAACACAATTAATTCTCTGACATAAAAAGTGAATTTAAAAAAAGATAATTCTACACAAAAAAACCTGTTACTTTTTTATTTCAATAAATACAAAAGGCATTTGAGTGATTTGGTGTTGGGTTTTTTTCCCCCCCTCCCAGCTGACCAAGAAAGTGAACAACGTGGAGTCAAGCTGGGCTTTGGGCGCCACGTTGGACTACTTCCACAACCTGAAGATCCACTAAGGAGAAGGGAAAAACAAACACTGCTGATTTAGGTAGTGCTCAATAACAAACACGAGTAATGTGCACTGCCTTATCTAACGTCCACAGACATCTGCAGTTTGTCTCATAAGGACAGAACTAACCTCATGAGTAATCCTTAATTTCTTTTAAAAAGCAATTATTCTCAAGTGTTAATATATTGAGCTGTAAATGAGCAATGTGTGCCTTACTCTGAGAACAAGTGGAGCACTGGAGGTTGACATTTGAGTGAAAGATGTTACCAATAACACACTGAGCTAATGCAGTTTTAGGCATTACTGTGTACACAATTTGTTGGAGATAGGTTTCTGTTTTACTCAGGCTGATAAAGAGGGTGGCCTGGCTTGTTGTGGTGTGCAAGACCAGCGTTTACATGCAGCACTGCGATATACTGTACTTCAGTCTTTAATGTCAAGTGTTTTGTTATTAGTAATAATGGGGTTTACATGTGTCTGGTACATTTCAACTTGACAGTCAATCATATCAGCTATTGAAATTTTTTAAATATCTTGGAGTCATTTTATATATATATATATAATATCATCAATGCAAATCAACCTCAGACTGTTTACAATGATACTGCACATAACAATGCATGGTCATTATATTTTCATAAACTTCTAAACCCGTCTCAGTATTTCTTTGGGAGTATTTTCAAAAACTTGAGGAAAAAAGGTTGTTTGTACAAACATAGCCATTTCACACTTGTCAAAATAAAACCATCATCCATTGCTAATTACAAATATCTACAGCAGTGAAAGTCAGTGATTAATTTATTTACAAATAGATGTCTATGTTAAGTCCACTGCGACTGTCAGTTTAGTGCTGCTGAAATAGGCAGTGTGTGACATTTTTCATGATGGCACACTACAGCAGCGCCACCACATCTTCTCCATATGCATGGCCTTCGGTTGTCATGGTCACCAATTCATGTGGCTGGGAGAGAACCACCACCGAGTCTGCAGAGCCTGGAGGGACGGACACAAAGACAAGTTCAAAGAGAAACTACCGGGTAACATGACATGTACGTACTTACAGTTAGGTCTAGCTACTGTCATTATGAGATGAAACACACCTTTCAGGCCAAAAACTCTACTAATACATTTGTCCTTGACTTTGTGCAAGCTTTCACATGGTTATGCCTTTTGGTTTTAATGCTGACATGCTGATTTAGGAGAAACTGAAGGACATACAAAGATACCTGTGTAATATTGGGCTTATAAAAAGTATTCAGAGTTAAAGCCTGAGGAGGAGTGAATTCTATCTATGGGCATTATATGTGGACCTGTTTAAGTTCTGACAGATGGGAATAAAAGATACAAGTTATATATCCAAACATTTATGTATGCAAAAACCATTTTACAACAAAACAATGCATTATTATTAAAGTAACTCATTAGCTGGTATAGGTATATGCTAGTACAGGCTATTTGTTGAGAGTGTCAGGGGTCTTGACTGAACTCTGGTTACTTCTATACAGCGTTACACACAAAGCCTGACTTTAAATGTGTAGTAGTAACGGTCTACTTGTGACCACTAGCCTGCTTTACTAGTGCAGTTCCTATGACTAAGGAGTAGGCACTGCACAGACAGACAAATATTACAATCTTATGAGTTACATGCATCACAATTTAAAATAAAAAAATAAATAAAAAAAGATGATTTCTAGTAAGACCTTAGTATTTGACAGCATGGGACCAATAATTGACTGTGGAAGAATTAGCACCATGTAACTTGGCTGTTGAGTGCACCAGTTGTAAAGTAATATTGTAACGGTTAAAGAGTTAATGTAAGTAAATTATAGCTGGGTTGGAGCCAGTAATTTCAGCTGTTTATCTGAAACAAACAGCAGAACTACAAAGAAGAAGAAACACGGCAGGACAGACGGGGGGAGGTTTGTTAAGTAGATAGCTAACAGAGTCGGAGACAGAGTATAAACAGCATCTCAATACCTAAACATATGTGCCCACAGCACCTCACATTTATCAGAATCTGAAGGGTTCATCCTGATGTCTGGTGAGAGGTATACTCTGTGTAAAATGTATAATTTATAAGCTGATTGGTAAGATTTTAGAAGAGAGGAGAGGATATTGCTAAACAAAGTAATATAATGCGACAAGAACAAGTCACAAAAATATTCTATTCTTACTATTTTAAATCACCAAGACAATTACACAGCTGAGTCATATTAAGTAGAGTGAGCTACCAACAAGCTGTTTTTTTTTTTTTTTTTAAACAATCACCATCTTAATATAATTAAGAGTTTTTAAGGCAACATAAACAAACTGCACAGTTACAGTACAAAGAGGCCTGGAAGCTGCTGCCTGGATTTTTGGTCCATTGTTGGAAAATCTAAAAGAAAACATCTCAAAGTCGAGACAACTTAGTCAAACACAAGAAAGCTGGACTGTCAAAGAGTAACAGAAATTACTAACAGACTGTCACAAGCAGTGACTGAAAACACTGTGGCAACACCACAAGCTGACTCAGCACCTCTGACATAAAAAGGTGTCAAATGATTGCTTAGAGCAGGTTTATTCTATTGTGAGGTGTCTTTTGTCCACCCTGTATTGCTGTGAATGCTATACATGTGCGAACACCTACCTGGGGATCTCAGCATGGCATGGTGAAGATTCATGGGCTCCACGGTTGTTGTCATGGTGACCATACCGTCTCCGTTTTCGCCGTCTGCCTCCAGCAGGCTGCTTTGTGTTAGAGCCTCTCCTGTCAGGTGCAAACAACAAACTTTTGACAAGTATGAAATGCCGAGGGACACGTGCTGTACTTCTTCTGTACAATCTTCAAAGGATCAGGGTGTAGGATTTAGTGGCATCTAGCTGCGAAGTTGCAGATCGCAACTAACTGAACATTGCTCACAGATGTATCTGACGACCTGGGAAAGACAGCAGGCTGTGAAGTGAGTAGGAGGAACTATGGTGGCCTTGAAACTCGTAGAAAAAGGGGGCGTTCCCTATCTGGAGTCAGGGTTTGGTTTGTTCATTAGAAACGTGGTGGTTCTACATGGCGGACTCAATGGAAGGCGACCTGCAGCGACTGTAGATAAAAATAGCTCATTCTAAGGTAACAAAAACGCAACAATTCTCGTCTTCAAGTTGTTATACACTAATGAAACATACTTATGAATATTATATTCCATTTCTGCCAATAGATCCTTCTAAATGTTACACACTGGACCTTTAAAAAACCTGCTACCAATAATTTACTGTGAGTCTTAGAATGTTTAAAACTAATATCTACACTTAATTACTAACTTTCTGTTACCTTTTGACTCTTGGGTTCGGGTGTTTTTAGGACTGTAGTTATTCCAACACAGTCAATTTAATAATTCATCCAGTATAAATAACACAGAGACTATCCCTCTGTTGTGAAGCTGCATCTTCCTTTGCTCTGCTTTTACAAAAGACCAGCCTCTTTGGGGAGACTGACCCGAATAAATCTGCTGTTTATAATTAGAGCTTTGGCAGCGTTTCCTCTGTGGTGATTCAGCTGCGGTGCTTCCCACTGCTACAGGAATGTGACAAGGAGGCAAATGCTCTGTCTGCTCTCATTGTTCCACGGCAAAAAAAACTAATTTAAGCTGATTTTGTACAATTAGACCATATGTTGGAATGTAAAGAGCTCATTGAGAGACGCTTTTAATCTGAAGAGGTGCTGAAACTGATACTAAGAATAGAGGCAGGAGTGAACTTGAGTAAATCTCCCACAGCTGCAGTGGGAGATTTACTCAAGTATCCACTCATTTATCTCAGTCATTTGTAAGGTGAAGGCAAAAAAGACATCTGAGTAAGGCAAGAGAAGCTTGAGGACATGAATTTTAGTTACTGTGCCATTTTAACTTGGTGATAACATACTTTACAGACAAATCTGACCCCATCACAACAAGCCTAACAGGCCTATTTCTGCGGTACAGTTGTGCTGTCTCTGCTTTTCCAGAGATATGCGCAGTCTAAAACAATTCAGCTAGTGGCCCTGAAGAATAAAAATTTGAATGATACATTTTTAAGTGCTCAAGGGCATTAATTATTCAAGAAATGTTCCTAAATGTAACTTCAACCAGCACTATCTCTATGCACATTTTAAAATGTATGGGCTGCTTGAAGCTACATAATCCAAGGATTAGCATAACCACCTACTGCACTTTGTGTGTGTGTGAGAAAGAGATAATGCGAGTGAGAAAGACCTGTTTCTCTGCTTTCACTACTGAGCCCCTCCTCTCCGTGTCTCTTCCTCATGTGGACGTTTCTGCTGCCGGACTGAGAGAAAGTCTTCCCACAGATCCCACAGTGGTGAGGCTTCTCACCTGGAAGACAGACAGACACAGACACACACACACACAGACACACACACACAGACACACACACAATTCAAAGCGACATACTATTCTGTGATCCCTGTACTGATACAGGATGTGATGATATACTATATCTGTAGCACACTAATTACTAAAAAAATAGCGCTCAGCTGTACAGCTGTACTCGGTCCCACTCACCAGAATGTACGAGCATGTGTTTTCGTAGACTGGAATACTCTGCAAAGGATCGCCCACAACCATCTGCTTCACACAGAAAAGGCTTCTCTCCTGGAAGCAGCCACCCACCAAGCACACACACACACACACACACACACACACACACATACATACATACATATTGTTCAATTCCACAATACAAAGACTTAAAGTAGTAAACTCATTATCGCAGTATATGTTGAAAGTGATATTAATGATAGACCAATGAGTCAGTCAGTCAATTATCTGGCATTTTGAGACAATCAGCATTGGCCAAGCCCTGCGCTCACGAGGCTGTTAAACAAAAAACGCATCTGCAGGCAACCAATGTCAATGTGGCTGCTGTGGAACGATGTTAGTGCTCCGCTTTGTGAGTTTGTGGTGATGAAGAAGTTAGTTTCGAGCCCCATACTGTAAGTCTCATGCACCCTGCTGTCTAAATTGAATCTTTTCTAAATATTAACACATTTCTCCAATCTTAAATGACAGCAAATCTGATCTAAAACCATTACTGGCTAGCATTAAAAGGTCCAGTGTGTAACATTAAGAAGAATCTATTGGCTGAAATGGAATATAATATTCATAGGTATGTTTCCATAAGTGTATAACCACCTGGATATAGGAATCATTGTGTTTTTGTTACCTTAGAATGAGCTGTTTTTATCTACAGAGGGAGCGGGTCCTCTTCTGGAAAGTCCACCGTGTTGAACTGCTCTGTTTCTAAAGTAGCCCATAACGGACAAACTAAATACTAGCTCTACATAAGGTCTTCTGCATTTTGGAAGGTGAGCAGCATTCAGTTAGTTGAAATTTGCAACTTCACCACTAGATGCTACTAAATTCTACACACTGGTCCTTTATATAATGTATAAAATATTGCAGTTGAATGGTATCACTTCTGAAATCTACAACGTAACCCAATGTATTTTCTCTATTTCAAAATTCCATTTAAAACAACATGTTACCAAGGTAACCATGTACATTAGATTGTACTGTGCATGGAATAATGAAATTATTAGGTATTATTTACTGTGTAAATAAATTAAATAAAACATTAAGGAACAGCTTTCGATGCAGGCATTTTGTTTCTTAATGCAATGCAGAGCTATTTAATTTACAAGCATATACATTGGATTGATTTTAATAACTTTAATATACTTGAAGTGTGTACTGTGCACCTCAATGATATAAAATCGGATCAGATTGGGGGCTAAAAACCTCGATCGGGACATCCCTAGGAATTATACATGACTTTGTTTTGATATCAGCATTAAAATCAGCCATTGCTCCCCCGGTTCCCTAAATATAGGCATCAGGCATTAAGAACCTATATTAGTCAACCAGTAATTTCAATGGCCTAAAACACTGGAAGTGGAGAATGCAGCTTTCCTGTTGTTTCTAGAATGAATGGTGACAGCTGATGTAAAAAATGTAATATAATTTTATCCACCTAAGTGGATATTACAGCTCATAGAAAGCTGTTCTTCCAGACATATGGGCAAAATATAAACACTGTATAGTGTAGCCGGTCTGCTAACTGGTCCCTCGATAGAAGAAGCAGACTGTGGAACAGGCCATCAAAATCTTAATGTCACCCTAAATAAAATATGACAGAGTATTGTTACTCATTGCAGCAGTGAAATGGAGGCGCCAGTGCTGCTGACTCTTCAAATCTCCAGCCTTGACTGCACCAAGGAAGCACTAAATGAGCAGAGTCAAATGGTCTGAGTCAGTTATTGCTTCCAGCGTCTTTTATATATGCGGGTATCTCCTGCTCCCCCACCTGTGTGTATGCGTCTGTGGTTCTTCAAGTTTCCAGCGGTGGTAAATTTCTTGCCACAGTTCTTCTCCTTGCAGATGAAGGGTTTCTCGCCGTTGTGGGTCCTCATGTGAACCTGCAGCCTCTGCAGCACGTAGAAGCTCTTACCGCAGCCCTCTGCACAGCACCTGAACATTCGGTCGTTCCTGGGAGCGAAGATAACCAAACAAACAACCATCGGTGTCTCCTGTGCACACGATTAATTTGCAACCACCCACCACAGGGTCAGATTGGGCGGGGGCACAAATAGATCTCCTACACTGATGTTAACAAAGCTCCTGCAGTACAAGTACACACTTCTTTCCAAGTCTCAGCTGTGTTTCTCCTGTTTGGCTGCTCTGTCTGCCTCCACCACAAACAACCTGTGGAAAACACTTTGATCACTCTTCTGACTTAGCCGTAAAACATCTGTACAGCTCTGATCCAACACATCTGTTGATGAGCAGTAGACCCAGCGCTTATTGTACAGCTTACAGTTGACACTTTAAGTTAAAGTTAGACTAACTTAGTCTCAAAAGCCTGGAAAAGAAGACAAGATGGAATATAATTAGTATTTACCTTATATATAAATTTGTGGTGGGCTGGGCATCATTGTTTAGATAAAATATCTGCACAGCTTCCATGCATAGGAAGCACTATAGTCATACCTTGTGTGTAAGGCTTCAAATATCTGTGTTGCATGTTGGTTTTATAGGTAATAATTAATAATAATTAATAAAGTAATAATAAATTAATATTAGGAACAAAGATTTGATTGCAGAGTGTAATTACTTAAAATTAGTATAAAAAGTTGGAAACTGTATTAGCCCGCAAGGTTTCATTAATATATATTTCACTTTGGAAAATGTATCCACATTAGGCAGGATTTGCACAGGGTGGAATATTGATGCTTTGGCACCAGCATCTTGTTGGAACTGCTGCCTGGATCCATTATATTCTGTTGCTGTGTGTGTTTCGTGTTACCTGTGTGTTTTGAGGTGGTATTTGAGATGAGCCGGCCAGGTGAACGTCCTGCAGCAACCCTCAAACGAGCAGCGGAGTATCTGCTTGGAGAGGGGGCGGCTGGTCCGAGGCGGCAGCTCTCGCTTGTCCCCGTCTGCTGTCAAACTGTGTGCGTGGTCACCTAGGCAACCAGAAGAGGAAAGTGAGCGGGGTTGTGCAGAAAACAATCCAGGAGTGCCAGGTGGCCGGCCTCTGGAGACCGGCTGTATAAAAGCTAATCATCGGGTACTGACTGAGACCTGCTGAACAACTACAGCCAAAAGAAAACAACCCGAAGCTGAATGCAATCACTCCCTTTTCACCTACTCGGACTCCCTGCTTTGAATGCCTTTAACAGGTCCAATTTAGCTTACAGCGTGCCAGCAGTAATGCACATATAACTGATACCCCACTGCCGAAGGAAACTTGTCTAATCTAATGCAAGTTAGTGGGAGGGCAGCCATTACGCCGGCTCAGATAGTTTAAGTTCCACACTGAAACACTGTCTGCTGCCGACATTTTATTTAACAACGTGCAAAGTATTTCAAGACCTTTCTTAACTGCCACACTAGCTCAGAAGAATATTTCAATGTGATACTATGTGTAAAGCACGTCACCTTGGCCTTGGGAGATCATATCAAAGACCCCCAAAGCTGGATCCACATAGTCTAAAACATGTTTTTCCTCTTTCCTTTTTGAACTGTTCTCACTCGACCTTAATAGAAATATAATGGGGTCAGGGATAAAGGTGGGGAAATCATATGGAGGGAAGGAAAGAAAACCTGTGCTAAGAGAGTCCAACTTAAACTAGGCTACATGATCACCTGAGATACGCCAGAAAAACACAGTTTTCAATAATGCCTAATAATTCTGGCAATCTGCTTTGCTTCAGGAGAGAAGCCGTGAGGTAACTTTCCTGAGCATTTGGGGAATTCAACCAGCACCAAAATGTGTCAAAATGCAGTATATATATATATATATACACATTCTAAGACACTGACAGTCATGATTAACTTAATGTAAACAGCAGTTTTTTTGCACACAGTTATAGTGGTGAACAAAAATGGGGTAAAGACAATATGCAGTGATGGTAGCACAAAAGAACAGAAGCAACACGTACAACGAAGAAGCGTTTCAGTAGAAGATCATAAACTGTGAAAAAAGGAGGACAATAAAGTAGAAGCTCGCTCTCATATCACTTTTCTTCAAAAATTAGAGATGTAGCTAGGAGCCATTGTGCCTTAAATGTCATGGTAAAATCTAACAGGCCTGTGGATGGGTTGTGATGTAGTCCTGACTCCTGCTGCGGGTCAGCAGCTTGCTACGGCCCTGTGTGCTGCAGGAAAGGAGTGTCTGTCTTAGATCAGAGGTGAGAGCTTTAATAAGAGAGTAAAGGCACGGATCATTTTTAACTAAGTGAGCAACAGATTAAGATACATTTTGGCAAGCGAAGAAGCTAGAGTAAAAGAGTTTTTACAAATCAAAGCAGAGTTTGGAAACTATTTTAAACTATGCACATTAAAGGTCCAGTGTCTAACATTTAGGAGGATGTATTGGCAGAAATTATGTATGTTTTCATTAGTGTATAAGCACCTGAATATAGGAAACGTCGCGTTTTTGTTACCTTAGAATGAGTCGCTTTCATTTACAGTTTGAACCTCCGTGTTTCTACAGTATCCCAGAAGGGACAAACCAAACACTGGCTGTAGACAGGGATTGGTATTCAGTTAGTTGCAACCTGAAACTTCACTGCTAGATGCCACTAAATCCTACACACTGGTCCTTAACTCATCAGAGACACAGCACAACAAAAAGTACTGATCAATGTTTCATGATAATGTGGCATTTAGTGCACTGGATGTTTGCTGTCAGACTTGAAAACCAAATGTAGACAAATCTACAAATTCATTTTGATTGAGAGACTTATGATGAGAAGTGAGGAACAGTTTCAAGTCAGTCCTAATTACACTACATTTTCATCTCATCACTGACCTCATTTCTCTTCTTTCTGTCTTTGATGCCTGCCATAAGTAGACCAGATGATGTTATGTTAAAAATGTGCTGCTTCCCGTACACAGGCTCACAGTCTTTTTTAGTTTCTTTTTTTCAGACTTTTTATGCCTTTATTTTGACAGAGATAGACAGGAAGGGTGGGAGAGGGAGAGGGGATGACATGCACTGAGTTGAAGATGAATCTGAGCATCTAAACTATAAAAACTTAAGCCTCATAGTACATGCTCTAATTTTTGTCTTAAACTTCATCACATCACAGGTAGCTGCACTGCACACATCCATGTCAAGTATTTTCTTCTGAGGAGCCTGTTTGGCTTTACTTTCCAGTATAAAAAGACCTCTAAAACCCTCTCTGCTTGTGCCGATAAGACAAAGTGACTTTACCATTACTGACACTTGCAGCTCTGGCGTCCTGGCTGGCCTTGGCATCTCTTGCAAGCTGTGCCCGCGTAGCGGCAATAAGGCTGTCATGTGCCAGCTCCTGTACCCGCAGATACCAGGGAGCACTGCCATCTATCCCGTAGTCCCCCGATGAGACCCCCTCGTCGTCATCATCCCCGGCGCCATCTGCAGCAAAGATCAATGACTCTGAAGAGGCTGTGATGCCTGAGAGGGAACAAAAGGCAGGAGGAGAAGCACCGTGAAACAAGAAATCCAAGGCCAATGCAATATTCTGCAAGATCATCAGTGGCCCTCTAGGTCACAATTCTGAATTCCCTTTGTGCTCAGCAATTTTTGGTCTGATGTGATAGCTTTATTCTGAAAGGCTGAGAGGAAGCAGGCCAACAGACACATTTAAAAAGCAAAAAAAACAATCACTTTTTAATGTAACAATAAACAGAAAGTGATTCTGTCTACTGAGAAGTCTTTTCTATCCTTCACATCGCTCACTGAGGTAACAGGCAGAAAACAGCACACTGCATAAAAAGGTGTATGTCAAGGGACCAAAATTAATTTTTTTGGCTCTCCTGCCAAGGGCTGATGAACCGAGAGAATGTGCCTGCCAAGGATCATTTCTTCCAGCCAAAATAATTCAGTTTTTTGTTCAGGAAATTGTGTCACCCCATTTCTTCTTAGCGCTGTGTGTAGAATCAGGAGCCGTGCAAGACACAAAGTACGGACACAAGATCAGAGTTAAAGTTTTAATGTAAAATTTCCCGCTCTTTTAAAAAGATGAAATCCATCAGGAAGTGACTTACATACAGGAATAATGTTGTTGTCGGGGTATTATTGGTTGATCTATTGATCATTTTTTGATTAACTGTAACAAAATAGGAAAGGTAGATGTACCCCTTGGACTCATATGTGAATAGTTAAGTGTTGGTTGTTTACTGTTCCTTTACCTTTTGCAAGGTTCAGTAGGACGTAGGAAGTGCTGTCGGACTGTTGTAGGTCATGGAGTATGGGTGGGGGACTGGGTGAGGCCCGTGGATGACAGTGTGTCTGGACCAGTAATGGGCTTCGCTCCGACACACCTCCAAACTCTGACAGGGAGGGAGAACTCTCAGGCTCATGGCTCAGGCCTCCATCTGAGGAGAAAATCAGTGTTTGTTAGTTTTAATCCTGAATAAAACACATGCATGCTATCTGCAAATGAATACCCCAAATAATCAACCAACGGTTTACACTGTCCTGACAAGTACATAAGTACAGAGCTTTAATGGTAATGGAGTGTAGACTAATTAGATAACACAGGGTTGAAAGCAAGGCAACACTGGTCCGAATCTAAATGAAATCTAGAACTCTACAGGACATGGAGAGGGGGAATAACCACAACCCTAAAACACTTTTCTGTTTCTACATATTCACTATTTTGTCATGAACTAATGCACTTGAATTTCAAAAATGTGGCACATGTATTCCGTGTGTCTGTCTGTCCGTCTGTCTGTATCACTTAAGCATTTTGATGCAGAATTGGATCCAGAATTAGATTTTCAAAATCTTGTGAGTGTGAAATTTTTCAATTAATTGAATAATATAATTTCTTTATAGTAGTTTATGATTTCAATTGTTCTGTTCTACTTTAAACCTGCAATAACAGATAGTTTGGGCCATTTGGGGTCATGAGCCATAACAAGCTGTGAACACACAACACTAACATATAATGACCTTTAATATCTGTATGGTAAATTTGTTAGCAAGGAGCAATATTCATTCATTTGGAGTCATGTTTCTGTCCACCTGACAAATATACTTCTATTATTAACTCTATTTTAGCTCTGTGTTTGGTCTCCACCAAGTCAAAAATATTTGTATCTTTAGCTGCTAAACGCTGCACCAGTTGTTGTCTGCTGTTTGGTGCTGAGCAGGTAGTGTACAGAGGGTTTTTAGATGATATGAAAGCAGCTAGCGTCAAAAAAAACAGTAAAGATGTGGGCCGGACAGCTAAACAATCAGATTAAACTATAAAACTCCTTTAAGCTGAGGGGAGCTGCAGATTTAGGGTGATGATTCTCTGTGGGTTCATCGCTACAAGTGACCCCTTTCACACTGTTTTCACATTATCATTTGATACATTGTCATTACAAATATTGATTATAGCTGCTTTAAAAGGTCCAGTGTGTAGAATTGAGTGGCATCTAGCAGTGAAGTTGGTAGATTACCTATAAATATTATATTCCATTTCTGACTATAGATCCTCCTAAATGTTACACACTGGACCTTGGAGATTCAGAAACTGTGTGGTAGAGATTTAACCTTTCCCCACTACAGACCTTTTAAATGCAGAACCGTTCTGCTCTATTCAGCTTTGTGGATTTTGTGCATTTTATTTATGGCAAACATGTTTTGACAGTAGTTTTAAAAATATATGGTAAATCAAAACGCAATCCACAACTGTTTAATGCTTTTTTGAAAATGATTTGCCACATACAGGTTGTGTTTATTCTTCAGTTTCACAGATACAAGTGATACAGCTGATATGATTGTCTTGGACTGTGATACCAGTACCATGAACGACATACTCTGTTGTACCCTGTAAACCCCAGCTCTTTTATTTGTCATGCTATCCTGGTGTCATTTGTGGGGTCCCAGTTATTCTACAACTGTAAACTATGTGGCCCACCACAACAAATGAGACAGTCATATGACTTAACAATAAAAGCTTTGAATACCACAGTTATACTAGTATTTTGGCCTGTGGTGGACAGGACAAGAGCAGGGAACAGCTACTGACCAGTGAGCTCCAGCGGGCTGCACAGGGAGCTCTCAGCCGGAGCCAGCAGAGGCAGGCAGGAGTGTTTGGACTCTGAGTCCTCCAGACCCTGCACCAAGGGGATGGACGCGTTCTGTACAAACTGCACCAGCAGCTAAGGGGAGGAAAACAAAAAAGAGACACAGCAAGTGCAGTGAGACAGGCAAATAAATCACTTAAATCACACACAAAAAGCCTCCTGCCTCTGCAATAAAGATGGAGCATGAAAATGATGATCACCTCTGGTTTGGAGTCCAGCTCATCAGAAAGCATGGGTCACCCTGTGTGGAACCTGCAGAACAATAATACAACACGGATCCATCAGATGCACCCAGATGTGCTGTGATTGGGCTTAAATGAAAACAACACTCACCTCAAATTTGACCTACTAAATATGGGATTGTGTGTGGATCATAAGCGCAGGCTGCAGGTCATCTCTGAGTGGAAACCATCGCACAATCTGCGGTCACACAAACAGGAACAAACGTCACATTACCAGGTCTACGTCTGGGCGTTGCTAGTCAACGAGTCGCTACCAGGTGGCTACAAGTTTGACAGTCAAACACCAAACAACTCGCCCGTCAAACAGCGCAGCTAAATGTGGCTAAAGCTCTGAACTGTTACTGGGTAAAGGAGACAGATGACAGACAACGTTGCTAACTTTAGCTAGCGGGGTTAGCAGTTACCAAACTAGCTACCGGGGCTAACGGACAGCTGTTAGCTGCTGTTAGCTGTCCGTTGTCAACGGCTGACCAACGGCTGACCAACGGCTGACCAACGGCACACCGCTCATGGGTTAAAGGCCATTAGCTACACCTTCAGTATCGTGAAACTGTACCTTGTAATAGTTGTGTTAACAGAGCTACGGCGGGAGAGCAGCTCGATAATTGTCCCTAAACAGAGTGGCAGGTTTGTTCTACGGAGTCTCTGGTGGAACAATGTTAGTGTACTTCCGCGTTTTTTGCACAGAGGGAGCCTGAGTCATCGACGCCATCCAGTGGTCAAACCTGTGAACTACATCCTGAGGCCAGACGGATGAGAGGGGCATTGGTGCTTTTTGGTAAATGAATAAATAAACAAATAGACTTAATACCTGGAAATTACCGCTTCGCTTTTTGAATGACCTTTTTTTGACAGATCCAAACTATTCTCTTGTTCTGTCCTTAATATGAAAGCTATATCATTAACAAAGATTAATCCTCTGTGTGTCAAAGTATGTAAACAGAGCAAAAGACAAATTATATCTGTACTTTGTGATACATATCTGAGTCATTCTGAATAAAATTAAGTCACATTTATGATTTTGGTGTATTTCCAACAAGCATAGACACTGAGTTTTAAACAAAAAAAAAAAAACCCACAAAACATCTAAAATATGACTGCAGAGGAATATATCTCTTTGGTTTGCTAAACCCACATTGTTCATAGTGTTTTGAGTTGTCCTTTTATGCGATAAGAGCACAGATTTCTATTTTTAAATACTCGCTTTCTCTCAGTTTGCTGGTGTGATGACAGAGGTGTGTGCTCCAAAAATTAGAAACGGCAATTTCTGAAGAGACTGCGGGTGTGAATGCTGGAACATTGCAGTGTAGCATCACACTGTACACGTTTGTGCAGAAACCTTTTTTTAAACATCCAATTTCCTTCTTCCTATGTGGTGGCACTGCAGTTTGGTAAAATGCATAAACGCCCACGCCTGCGGTGACCTTTGCTTTAGCTTTATGAACAAGGATTGGAGTCATGGGCGCAGGAAAATTTACATTTAATTAACACCTGAAAGTGCCATTTACTGCAATACTGAACTGCAGCTCTTCCACTATGAAGCTCAATTTATTGCTGTATTATATTCATTCTGTTCTGTACTAATGACAGATACACAGACAAAAGGCAACCACTTACTGAAACGTTTTTAACTTTCAAACTGGGCCTCTCCGAACCTGCGTAAGCAAGGTTTTATGCTCAGTATCTTATGTGAATTGAACGTAAGTAAGAAATGATCTTAAGACAAGAACAACCTAAGAACATTTAACAGCATTGAACAATGAGGCAATGATGTTCTCCTAAAACACAACATGGTTTTAGACCCTGCCCCCTTTGTGGCTGAGCTGAAAGCAGTGGCTGTTCGTGGATTCCTGTGCTCACAATATGAGCCACCTGAGACTGCGTATGCAATTACTAGCCATGAGTCCAGGTGGGAACAGTTCCAACACATGGTGACCCAACACCTGTCCGATGCCAGAATCCCTTTCCTAATCAGCTGCTTTCTGCCAACATGTAGGTCACCGTCGACAGCGTGCTATTACAGCCCTTACCCCAAATTATGTTATCTGGGTGATATATATATATATTACTGCAGTCCTGATCCCTTGTGTGTGTATGTGTGTGAAACAAAACATCTATCTGTGGGCCAGGTAGTGAGCGACGATGACATCATAACCAAAAATAGTAATGTTATAATTTAGTATTCATCCGGAACAGACGTAGTAGTCTCAGGAAGCAGTCCTACTCATTTAGACAGATATCACTAAAAAATCAGGGGTATAACATACTACCCAACAAGAAAAGTGTCTTTGGAATGACATTTATTACACAAGTAATGAGTCTCTAATTGAAAATGTACAAAAAGAGCCCTAAAGCATGTTACATTAACCCCTCTGTCAATCTTAGTTTACTGACCTTTGATTGGTATAGCTGACGTATCATTATCTAAGATATCTAAGTTCCACATCCAGATGTTTAAAACTGTAAGACATGAAACTCATGTTTTGGTAAAGTCCCATTAAGGATTTCAACAATTTTCTGCATTTACATTTTTTAGAATAGAAAAAAGATTGCCAGCGAGCCACATTACATTCAGTCTGCCTAATTCTACTACAGGGATTATTTGGGCTAATCATCACTGTGTCCATCACTACTGCTGGTGTACTACTGAAACTATTTGATAAAACATCCACAATCCTTTTCACAAACATTTTTAGCATATTTAAAATGAAAGACGGCAGACTGAAATGCACTGAGGAAACAAAGCTGCCAACATTTAGATGGAAAACTCAAAATCCAGTGTTATAAATCAAAGGTGTTCTACTGTACAAAAAAACAGCCTTTACCCTTTTTCAATAAACTTATTTTTTTTTTAAAGTTGAAACAGAAAATTGCGGTCACATAAGACGACAGCACATATAATAGCGGCACCAGAGACACATAGTTTGATACAGTCCAGTCAATAGTCAATAACATTGACAGGATCCAGTAAAGTGTTACCACAGCAGTGTGGATCCATGTAAACAAAAATAAACTTCAGATTACTGTGAGCTGATGGTAACCGGTCTGTAATAAATAAACCTAATATTGTGAAAGAGGGACGTGACCAGTGTTGTTGTGCTATTATCAGCCAAAACATCATTGACCCATTTGATGTTTCAGTACCACAATTTATTCCACTGAATGTGAACCAGTATCAGAACAGCATGATCTAATTTTATCTGCAGGCTATTAAACTATTTTTAAGCTTTTCAGACTCTACAGTGACCCGTTAAGAACAATATAAACATTCAGGTCTACCAAACTCCTAAAATTACTTCTGTGATCATTGTAGACATTTACTAAAGTTTGGGTAAATGTGTTAGTCAAAGAACTGAGACTGGCATTTGTTTTTGACCAAGGCAACGACTAAAATAGTGTCAGCAGTGTTGCTGCTGTCCTCAAGTGTCTTAATAAGGCCTTCATTAAGGACACGTGCTATTAAAACTAATTACTGATCTATTTAGAGCGACAATAGTGCAAGTGGATCGAAAATAATTTTGCAATAAGATAACTGGCTTTTATAACCTTGTCATAAAGTTTACACTATTGTTAGAGTGTAAAGAGTCTCAAATATTTCTGCAATTTGCATCACACAAACACAGAAGACAGATTTAGGTTCCTCACACAAACACAGAAGACAGATTTAGGTTCCTTTATAAATGAATTATGGGATTAAAAATGACCCATTCAGCATGTTTGCTTGGTAATAGAAAGGTCTAAAATGTCATTCTGACATCATCTACTGAATACTGCTGGAAACTTGTGCGTCTATACAAAGTCTGTCTGGCTACACTCATTAGCTTTAACTATTCATCATAGCGGGAAGACACAGAAAAGTAAAATGTTCCAAGCTGACTGCCTCAGGTGCAACGTGACAATAACCCTAAACACACATCAAATCTCATATCATCTGCTACTGTGTCCTCTTCAGAGTCAAAATGTCCACTGACTGAACGTAACTGTTCTGTTTACAACATAAAAGCTGAAAGTTAACCTACCATAAAGCTGAGATATTTAGCAAAAAGTGATGTTATTTTCAAAACACCCACAATTCATTCATAAATGTTGTCACAGAATACGTGACCCAAAACCTTTTTTTATACTCAACTGAATCGTGTTCACATGGGATAAGACTGCAAAAGTAGTAAATGATCCCATGATTTGAGATGTTCCTCATGAGCCATTTTAAGGTCAACATAAGCACAGCGAGTACATCATCATCACACTAAATATTATTGTGTAGGTAAAGACGAAATATGCAAAAATGTGTTTTAATACAGACAAAACTGCTAGTAGTAAAACAATCTGTCAATGTAAATGTTGTAGGCTGTTCTAAAGGAATAGTATGTATACACTGGTAGTGTGTTTATGTTGCCTCACAATGCACTTTATGTACTTTAACCTAAACAAAAACTACCTTAGCTGCCATTAAATTCTGCCCAGCAATTGCTTCAGAGCTACTCTCTTATCGTTTTAGTGCAAATGCAAAGTTCTGTGACATACACTGGGTTTAGACAATAAGGCCATAATTTATAAGCATCCAAAAAATGTATAATCTGACCACAAATAGGGATTTGAGGGTCAAAGTTGCAACAACTGGTCTTTATCAAGAAATCTTACTTGATAGTCTCAAAAAAAAGGTACACACAATGAATATTTCATACAGGTGAAAAATAAAAAGGAACTTAAAACAGAAAAACTGCACATAAGTTAGATCATATTTCCACATTAAATTACATCCATGGGTATAAAAAATACAGAAAAACAAATTATAGAACACAAGTCACTGATAAATATGAATAGACAATAGGAAGCACTATTCACCAACCCTGGGATGTTGTCAGGGAAGCATCTCTAAATGGCTGTTAAGAGCTTGACTTCCAGCCAGTCTGTACTGTATCATAGCTGCCATCAACAACAACTAAAAAGACACTTCAGGCACGTTTGTCTATTTAAAGATCCTGACTGGCAAGACGCCTCGAACGCATTCACTGTGACATGAGAACATTTCCTTAAGCCTGTCATAATCATGGATGTTACATAACTGCTGCATAAAAAAATTTAGATTATGTACACACTTTGACTGTTAACTAGATGTCTGTTAACATCAGTGCCATGAATGATTCAAAACTGTTGAAACAAGAGAAATATCAGCCTGATTAAATTCATGTAGTGACACTCAGAATGAGTACGTTTACTCAATATTTTCCAGTTTTAGATTAAAGTACTTTGCCATGCACTGTTAAAGTTTAACTATCCAGTCAGGTTTTAGTCAAGCTTTCACATTCTGAGCCTGTATTGTGCTTTCAGTAAGAAAAACTTTTTTGTATTTGTTCACCCCTTCATGCCTTTAGATCCAAATCTCTCAGGGCTTTTGGGTCTTGATTGCCAAGAGCAAAAGATTTCTGTGCAGCAGAGTAGCAGTTTCAGTGGAAAGATTTAGTCAGGCTCAATATGGCAGAACAGTGAGCTGTGGTACTGGCCTTGTTTGACCTTAGGTCCCCGACACACAAAGCAGACAGTTGGTGATTGGGCAGCCCTTTAAGTGTGTGGCTGACCATCGGCAATTGTTTTTGCAGCATGTCCTTCTAATGGCACATCCGACCTCATCTGTGGCCATTTGAACGCTCTCCGACTGGCATAGCAAATCTGGAATTTTACTAAATTAGTGCATTTAGTCATTTTTTTCTTTTCCCACAAGTTAACAACATTCAAGGGGCAGCAAAGAAAAGTGCACAATGTCCATTGAAACAAATTCTCAATTCATAATTGAGTGTACAAAGAGTGTCTTTCTTTGATATCTCCTGGATTACAAATACAGACTACTGACTAAAACTTTTCCTCTAACACAGAACATATGTTATGTGCAGGTGTGACGGTCAACTGGCCTCCAGCTTTAGTCAAACAGTGAGTTCACGTGCAACTTCTTAGCAGAAGACACGAAGCAACAAAAAGTCTTTATCTGCACTAAACTGCAGAGGTTGGGTTGGTGTGTCAGGGCCCTAAGGCAGCCGGCAGCCAAAATGTAGGCCACAGCACACTGTCTGTGTGAGAGCGTCTGGGGGTGGGTGTGTATTGTGGAGCATGTTACTTTCGGTCCATCTGTCTCTGTATGCTCCAACCCCCCAACTCTGGCCCTCCTTTCCCCATCTCAGTCTAAAGGATTACTGTCTAGCACTAGTCTAGGTCTAATCTGCCTTTAAGCTGGCCGGAGCAGTTCTCTCCCTATCTTTCTCTCTGTCTTCCTCCTGAAGGCTGGCCTGTAGCTTAACACAGATGCTGGTGTCACCGCTACGCAGAGCCTGCAGGAAGAGGTCGGTGTGTTCTTTTAGCTGGTCTATGTCGTTCTGGGCTCTTCGGTTCTGCCGGTGGAGCTCCTTGGTGCGGAGTGCAATGTCTAGCAGGCCGGATTTGCTCAGGATGTTGTAAGTGTTGCAGAAGCGCTTCCTCTTTGTATCAGCATCACTATCACTGTGGTTATGTTCTTCTGGTGAGCTTCTCTCTTGTGTGGCCCCCCGGGGAACAGGGAGTGTCTCGTTCTTCAAGCCAGTGGTGTGAGTGAAGGACAGGGAGGTGGTAAACTCTGACTGGCTGACAGTTGATGAAGGCCTCTCCCTGGCAGGGCTCCTGCTGACACTGGCTTCTGTTGTGTGGAGGGAAAGTCGGCTCTGGAGCAGAGGAGACATGCTGGGGCTAGCAGGAAGACTGGGAGTGGATGAGCCAGAGTTACTGGCACCACCACATTGACTTCTCTGCTGCCTCTCTCTCTGACGGTGGTTTGATGTCAAACTGCTGCCTCTCTCTGATCCTGAAGAAGAGGATGAGGAGGATGAGGAAGCAGTTCCTCTACCTGAGGAACTGGAGCTGTCTCCAGGATGTGGAGCAATCTTAGGGTAAGATTTCAGGATTGGAAGATACTTCTTAGTGCGTCTGTGTCTGGAAGAGGCCTCTTTGGAGGCAGAGGAAGCTTGACGAGAGACCACAGGCTGGAGGAAGACCACCTGAGGCTGCTGGACTACCTCCACTGCTGGACTAAAGCCCCAGGGCTTCAGAGCAGGAGGATTATCTCCAGGCTGCAAAAGTCAAAATTGAGAGTTTTCATCACAAGCAGTTCTCTACTTAACACTTTCTTTATCCTTTTATTCCCCACGAGACACAATGAAACATAATTTTAAAAGTGGGGAACTGCAACACTCTTAAGATACAAAATGAGAACAAAAAACCTGAACATACTGTATCAATTAATCATTCAGTCTATGAAATGTTAAATACGGACAAAACGCTCATCACAAATTTACACAAAGTGGAGACTCCTGCTAAAATTGATTAGTCATTTATGAACCAATAATGTTCAACCTGCGATGGACCCATTCAAGTGACAGCTGTCACATGTCAGTCTATGGCTGTCACCACGAGCAGAGACTCCAGTCTGCAGTATAGGTCTATACACTTCACTGTTAAACCATAGAATTATTATACATTACGTAATTACCTAACAGAGTTTAGCTTTCACCTTTCTCAGTGTCTTGCTCAAGCTTGCTTTCCCACACATGCATGCTCTCTCTTTGTCTCTCAAAGCACTGTAATAACTATTATGGATTATTTTCCATTCATCATAGAGATGCCTGGCCACCTGCATTCAACCCAGAGGCTCAGATGACGTGAGCTGACTTGCAATCCATTCATTCAGGCAAGCGCAGCTTAGACCCACATCATTGTGTTAGTGAGAATAGGGTATAACTACCCTACTACCAATGTAAAACACTAGAAAATAAAGACTATGCCAGTAACAATCCTATTTAAGTGGAAGCCTACACGTTACAATTACATTTTAATAGGAAGAGCACTTTAAGTATCATTGTACTGGCATACTGTGATGGGAAAATTACGGTTTAACACGGACTAAACTGATACCGTTGAGTTTAACTGATTAAAAGTTCAACAACACTGTAGAGCTGCAACGATTAGTTGATTAATCGATAACTTGTCAACTACTGAATTAATCTCTAACTATTTTGATAATCAATTCATAGTTTTGAGTCATTTTTAAGAAAAACATTTTCCAAATTCTCTGATTTCTGCTTCTCAGATGTAGATATTTTTCTGTCTCTTTGGTAATTAATCAATAATGAAGATAACTGTTAGTTGCAGCCTTACTGGTCTGCTCAACAAAAAACAAGGTCAAAAAAAATTTCATTAAAATGTAAATAACCTTCTACAGAGTCCTAAATCAAGTAAACATCATGCTTAGTTTTCACTGTCCAATGTTTTAATTATTTAATGAAATCACAATGTTATTTTTAGCTCCTTCTACTTTAAGTCTCTGCTGTTGGTCAGCCAGCAGTCTTGACCTTTTGTCAATGGTCAGTCTTTTTTGGTGACACATTCCAGGCAGCTGTGACTGGACGGTGAAGACACATTCAAGTTAAACACAGGTGCAATAAAACTGGACCAAAACGTCTCTATTGTGCCCTGACCACTGCTATCAGGAAGCCAAGTCTGACTTTATCCACACAGATAAAGTAATATAACCTATAAGGTCAGGCTTGTGTTACAGAGTTAGCAGCAGTGTACCTGCTTGAGGAGGACGTTGTTCATGATGATCATGGGAGAGAGGTTGGAGTAGGAGCCTCCCACCACAGCCAGCTGGGAGGGCTGAGAGCCCGAGCCAGAAGTCTGCGGTCCCTTCTGTACAACAGGGCGGGGTGAATCCTCAGAGTCTGTCCTGTCCATTGTGCTCATGTGCTCCGAGCTTGCATCTACAGACCAGAAAGAAGAGTAACTGGGGTTCAATTAAGCGATACCTTATAAACCAAGCACATAAAATTGTGGTAAGAGCAAGGTCAAACCTGAGAATCCGGAGTCTCTCTCTGAATCAGCCCGGGAGCCTGCAGACTTCATGATGCGTGGTCTGTTTGATGCCCTTGAGTGACTCTCTGCCTTCCTCTTGGTGCTCATCTTTTCTCCTGCTGTATTGACAATGTCATTAGTTCGACATGCTCTCACAGAAACTTATGTTACATCAGGACATCAAAGGGTGGGAATCAAACAACAGTACCTCTTTTCATACCAACTACAGGCGAAAGAGAGTACTGACAGAGTATCTATTACCCTGTCCTAGTTGTCTACGATTACAGCAAATGCATGAAAACAATCTCTAAGCTGCCATAGTACAAAATGTTGCCAATTGAATCTACATATTGAAGCATTGGGCTGACGCTTGCTAAAAACATAAAGAAACCATTACCAAATTATGTTAGCATGAGGCTATGTTGACGTAAAACCTTAGTCTTAAGTACAACATGTGTTATGATACATAAAGGCACCGTTAATTAATCAAATTAACTAACATTACAGCTATAACAGCTAAAAAACAACAACAACTATGTAAACACTTAAAGAAAGCATTTAAAGTTAGCCCGTTGGTTAGCTAACGTTAGGCGCTAACGTTGGAAACAAAGCAAACGTAAAATAAAACCCCATTATGTTTACTTTGTTGTTGAAAGCTGTCTGTAAACGAGCTTGAAGCCTTTCTGTTGTCGTCTGTTCTTCTTCTTCTTGGTGTGTCCGCCGTCGTCGTTGCTGCCGTTGCTGCTGTTGCCGTTGCTGCCGTTGCCCAGCTACGTTCACTAGAACTCTGTGTTCCACGGTACAATACACGAGACAGCCCGCTCCGCCCCGCCCCTCTCGGCGCGGTCACATGCGGAGCACGGTGGCAACAGCCGTTGACCGTTGCGGTTTAATTGTCCCCGCCGGACGTCAAAACAGAAAGTAGGCTATTACCGAGCCGTGGGCTTCCGCTCATCTGAGCAACAACTGTTCCAAAATATGAAGGAACAGGATATTCGTCTCAGACGCTCTGCCATATTTGGTAGTTTAGGGCGTGGCTATGTCTGGAGTATCGGACACGTCACATTCTTTATGCCGCTAGGTCCGCCCACCTGGTAGGTGTTCTGGCTTCTGATTGGCCGGCGCAACCAGCAGCTGAAAAACGTGACTCCAGCAAAATGTGTGGCAAGTTAAGGACATTGTGTTCACCGTGCAGTCGGGAGGTGTAACTGTACAGGACATACATCTCCAATGTACTCTCGGGGAACCCAGTGACGTGATGATTCAAGTGTCATGTCCCTGTGTGTTACATAATAGTCTGGTTGGCCCACAGCTAACCTAAGCAGAGCAACTCTCCACTGCTACCATGTTTGAAGAAGTAAACACAACACTGTCAGAGCAAAACGTCCTCACGTGCAGCCATGTTCTGTACATTACTTTATCAACAATGGAGGACGATGGTTGCAGGATTTCTAATAGGAATGTGCCTACATACACAAAAACTGCTTATAATTATATACATTCAGTCATTATTTGTAATTATCTATAACTTCTGCAACACCACAATCCTAAAACTCATTACACATAAGTTATTTCATTTCTGTCAACACTTGTAATATATTTACATTACATTTACTTTGTATATAGGCTCTTATTGTTTTTATTTTTACTTGTTACTTATATGTATATAGTTATACATACATTTCTATTCTATATATTGTGTTAGAGATTGTTATATAAGTACTATTTCTATTCTTTAACGTTGTGTGAGTAGAACAACTGTAACAAACAAATTTCCCCCCAGGGATCAATAAAGTATTTCTGATTCTGATTCCGATAACACAGTAAGAGCAGTGTAGCAGTGTGTATTTCACCTATTGCAGAATAATGCTTTCACAGTGTACAGTGAGTTATGTCGCTGCACGCATTTGAAATCTATAAAACAAAAAATATAGATATAGGGTTCTGTGTGTTACACTATTAAATGATTGCTTCCCTTGACACAGTTGCCTGGTGAGCCCAATCCTGTTATTAGTTAGCTTTTCTGTTAAATGAAACCACACCTCTATCATCTCACATGTCTCTGAAAACCTGTGAATGCAATACAAATCACAGTAACCCCTTTGGCTCTGTTAACAATGTGCTTACTACAGAGCCTTGCAAGTGCTCACAGTGTCCTCACATGTTACTTATGCCAACGGTCTACCAATGCAAATGTAAATAACACAGAGATTCCTTGTATTTTGGGAAGGATTTTATCTCATGAATTTATCATGTCCCATGGCAGAGAAAGTAACACTTTACAGAAATTCACATCTTTACGTCTTTTTTCAGAATCAGGTTCATAGCTCTTTGTGAATGTTGTTATTGATCTGACAGTGAACACTTCAGGATGGATGGAGGTCTTACGGTAATCCTTTCCCCTGGACACTGATAAGTTTGCAGCATTCCACACATTATCTTTATACCTATTAAATCTGTTGTATCCTAAGTCTTTTTTTTAAAAGCTCACACAAATACAACTTTATTATATAAGTTATAATGGATGTTGATTTTGGGCCTTTAAACAGAAGTTAGAGCCGAAGGAGTCTGTTGATATGATTGTCTGCTTTGATGATCAATCAAAAAAGAAAAGAATGTCATGGACAAGATGGAAAATCTGTTGTTTGATGCATCAGATAAGGAAAGATACACAGAGACAAGATGAATAGTCAGATATGAAAAATTCACACATGTGCTGTTGTTTGCCACTTCAGAGTCACTGCTCCAAATTAAACTTTTGGACAGGCGAGTGAATCAGTGATGATTTATCTTGTTTTAAGGGAACTGGCACCTGAAAGAACAGAAACAAACGATCAAAACATTCAAATTGATTGAAATTGAAATACATCTATGTCCATCTTTGTAACTAGCACTGTGTATATCTTGGTTTTTATAATATTCCTGTTTCTAAATAGACATGTGTTATTTGAGAGTCTACTGACTACGACCTCTTTTTTTATGTTTATGAGGTTGAGTTTGGGGTGGATATTAACAACATTGTGAGTGAGTTCAATTGCTTTTCACTAACAGATAAGCTTTTGAATTCGTAAGCTCTCAACTATTTCCAAATTGTAAGTAAAGGTAGTGACCCACTAATGTGGTAAAATGTAGTCTCAACACTACAAATCCCCATCCAAATGATCATTTTGACACTTACATGGACGGATTACAGAACAGGCCTATAGGTACCTTAACCCAGAGTCTGAAGTGTGAAGTGACATTTCTCTTGTAGAGTGAAAAGGCAAATGTCCCTCTGAACAACCAGAGTATAATCCTAAACATTCACTTTGAGGTTGCCACAAGAATGAAACCATCAAGGGGAATGTATATTCCCTTTGGGGTTATGTAGGAAGGTTTTCTCCAGTTCAGTTTATGTTCAGTGCTGGTGTCATTCAATTTGAATCTGCTGGAAGAAATGAAAACCTCTGCAAATGTGTGGTCCCTTGACCTCTAAAGATGGGGTTAGGGGCCCTATAAGCTATGGTTTACAAAGGGTTAGAAGCCAAAACAAATTATGTGAAGCATTGCTTTTGTTCAGACAACAGCCACAACAACATAGCCACACAGGTTTCTATATAATAAAATACATAAGGAGAAACCTACAGACCACCACCTAACATAGCCTTAACCCCCCCAGTGACCTCCAGTACAATGTTGGGCGTTTCATTCAGAGGATAGATTTCATGACAACTCTTTAAAGGCTGCTGGATAAGATGTCCCCAGAGATGGCGAAAACCTATGGTTCCTTGTTCTTCAAGAGCAACAAGTTAATGAGCTTCAATAACCTGCCAATAGTGACACTTCCAATACTGATAATGAGGACCTTTATTAAATGCTTCAAGGATAAGTTCACTTAAAACAATACCCACATGCCCATATGTATGTCAAAAGACTAATTAATTGTCACTGCAGTTGTTAACAAAGAGATCCCTCCATAACGTGATTCCAATGCAGATAATGGGGAACAAAATCCGTGGTCCTCATTATGCACTCTCACATTCAGCTGAAACTAATATAAGCCTTCAGCAGTTTGAGTTAGACAAATAAAAAGGATACCTTACTTTCTTTTCAGAACTAAATTCTTTCTTTGCTGAGCTGAGGTGGAGAGATAGTGACACAAAGACTTTCCTCTTTGTACTGAAAAGACTACAACCCAAGATACCCAATTGATTTAACTGCCTCAGACTGCTCATACTACGTTTGCACATCTCAGCCTCATATTAGCTTCAGCTAAACTTTAGAATGCAAATTTGCACAAAAAAGAGGATTGTGGATTTTGTCTCCCACGGCAAACACTGATGGACTATGAATCTACCCAGCAATTTAGTATTGCACCTCCATAAAGTGAGTGAGCGCGATTCAGTCAAGTGGTGCCGGGCTAGCTTCATTCCGCACTCATTTAAATGTGGCTACCACAACAATTTCACTTGTCAAACAAAAGAGGAAGTAGAGAGGGGCACATAGAGATTATCTGTGGCACACGCTGTCCTTTTGACCTATATGTGAAAAGAGTGAAGCCCACAGACAAACAATATACCACATTCACTGCACATGATGGTCTGATATTGCTCTGGAACAGAAATACTTGGGCTTTAAATTTAATTCTACGTCAATAAAAGCATTTAACTTAAGATTTGGCAGCTGTTTCAGTTTAAAAGCCAGAGATGAGCCCTGCTGTTGTTGAACTCACACTCCAGTTGCACCTTCATCTCCAGTGTTGTGCACTCGGACTGAGTCAGATGCATATTGATTAGTTAATATGAATAAAATACAGTGTTTGACGTGACTGTACATAGAAAATGAACACATTAGGGTGATGAAGAGGTTTACTGCTCTACATATTAAGCCCCATTATAGATTTTTACTGATCCTTCTTTTCTTTCCTTTTCAATTTTGGTTATTCTCGTTATGTGAATCTGGTTATTTTCAGACTAATCTTTTACATGGGAAGTCTTTAGTTGGATTATTGTGCTACAAATGCTCTGTGGCCAGTCGATACAGGCCTGCCAAAGAAAAGAGCAAAACATCAGACAATATATTGTGATATTTTTTAATCTCATCTGTCCTTGGCAGGCTGACAGTGCGGAGGAAGGAGTGATGAATGTAGCTGTAAATGTCCAAATATTATGAAACAGTGTGTGTGTGTGTGTGTGTGTGTGTGTGTGTGTGCGCGTGCCACAGCTGGACTATCCATCTCTTACTTGCCACAGCCGGTTGTTGTCTTCTTGTGTTTCCTCCTCCGAGGTCTGTTCTTGATGGACTCACCTCTGCTGTGGAGGAAGAGGCAAGGGAGAGCAAAGTGCAATGACGATATTGATGTGTTCATGTCTGAGAGATAAAGTGTTCATCTACTGACCTTCTCTTATGTATGAGTCTTTGACGGGTTCTATAACGGGGGGGGACACACAAACAACTGGCAGTTAGCTGTCTCCATTTGCATTATTATTATTTGAAAGAATTAGTAAGTTACCTGCATTCACAGCTCTGATGCTCCACAAATGTGAGTTCCACAGTGTCCACATACCTCAGCTGGATCCTCTTCACCTGAAAAATTAAAGTAAGGGAAAACTGAAATAGGTACCAAACATTTAATATAAACAGAAAGTGCATTTTAACACCTCCATTTAGGTATTTGTGGTCACACCTCCAGAGTGATGTTGCGTTCAAGGGTAGGCTGGCACTCCAGGTTCTCATCCCCACAGCATCCAGAGCATCGCCAGAGTGGGACACAAGCAGGCAGATAGATGTGCTCCACTAATCCGGGGTACTCCTGCTCCACATCCACCAGCTGCTCCATGGCCCGACACATGCTCTTTGCCCACACCTCCTGGAACTCCATTACTACAAGGCCAGTTGACTGTTTAGTCTTTAAATCATTTGCAAGGAAATGTCTATTCAGTGGGATATGATCAAGAGCACAGCCCTTACCTTTTGGGTGACCCTCTTCTGGAGGATGTGAAATCTGAAAAATACATAACAAAAATACCGAGATCAACCCTTCAGTTTCATTTGATAAAAGTATTAACATCATTGCCAAACATGGTTGTAATGATACAGAACCTGCAGACAATCAGGAAACTGATACAGAGCAGCATGTCAGTGAGCATGACATAGGTAGTTTCAATAGTAGTGGGTTCAGTGAGTAGTTGCAGAGCGCCCTCTTGTGGCAGAGAAAATGTAGTGCACACGCAATGATCCAGTGAAAACAATGATGCAGCATGGTTTAAGGAGGGTACCACTGTGCCGGTGTTTGCAAATCAGCAAAAAAAAAGCAGTAAAATGAGCCAGCCAACAACACACTTGATTTCTCAATTTATTGTAACACTAGAAGGTTTATTATCACAAGAAGCAAAAACCTTCAAAGTATGCAAAGAATAACAGCAAACAATAGCTGCGAGCTTTACTCATGGGAGTTTTACACACAAAAACAAAGTTAAAACAAAGGCAGTACTGACAAGTATTGTGACACAGCATGAATCTTCTTAAGTTCTCACAACTCAGCCTTCAAACTCACAATGGCAATGTTCCCGATTTCTGAACGCCAAATTGAGCAGAAAAGTGCACAGTTGATCTTGGCTCTCGTCTTCTTTTGAATATCAACAATCTCTTTCTGACTCCTCACCTCTCTACTGCTGTCCTCTTGCTCGGTGAACACTGATGGGAACATTGTCTTCTGAATGTTACACGCAGTGAATGCTTCACAGGACAACAGTAGGTGTTATTGTGCGATTTTCATGTTTGCTGTAAATGAGTTTGTGCTTGTGCCAAACACAACGCAAACCCAAAGAGTCTGCGCTGCCTCATCCAACAATAGAACCAGATGCATTACAACAGCTGTAATTAGCATTAAACAAACACAGTGTGATGATGAAGTGACTTGATCATAGACACGATACTGTACAAAAAAGTTGCTTTGCCAAAAAGGAGAAACTGTTTCTTTTCGTGTTTCACTCTCATTTTACTGTTTTCCCCTCTAATTTCATAAGTTACATAAACCTGGACAATGGTTATTATCATACTGAACAAAAATAAAAAATGACAAGCGATAGAAGTTATTCTTGGCATTCTTTCTCCCATTGATTTATCCCCACCCTTCCTCTTATTTCTTTGAATAGGATTTTTAAATGTCATAGACTATATTCTGGTCCAGCTCTTGACACTGCAAGAAACCAGAATAACTGATAGACAATAAATATTCCCTATAATAAATGAAACATTCACCATAGGCTACCTCAAAATCTAGATGCACTTGTCCGAATTCTGGAGGCCAAATCTTTTTTTTGTGTAAAGAGTTCAGGCTACAAGATCTTGCGAGCTGTTAACACTCCCAAAAAGTCCATTGATGTTATATTTCAAACCATGGATTAATTTAGCTTTTTCCTGTCTAACGAGTGTCATTTGAACTGTCACAATGAAAGCTGATGCCATTCTTAACTAATTCTATGTTCAAGGTTTATGATTTCTATTCATGACCTGCTGCTGTGTTGCTTTAAAGATCTGTAAAACAAGACAGAACTATATGGATGGATGAAATGTAGTCTGGATAATAAGAAAAGGCATCATTCAGTACTCCTGCGAGTAGCTTTCTGAACTGCACTAGGCATTAAAATCGTTTTTTAATGCAAGTCCCATTTATTTCTCCCCACATACTGTAAAATGCAGTTCATATCCACTGTGCAGTCGTCTCCCCGCTGGAACATAAATCAGTAACATTCAGCAGCTGCATCTGAGGCTGGCTGGGCTGAGTCAATATCTGTACACATGACTGTAAACATGGCAATTCCCAAACCCTTTAAATGTAGATGGTATCTTCATGGTGGGGCACAGCCGGTCAAAATACAGATAATGTGTTAAAAGGCTGGAGTGTGGAGCAGATGTGTCCTCTCACAGCGAACAAGTCTGACCTGTTAGCTGCAGTGTTTCATGAAAAGAGAAAAGACAGCCTTTTCCTAAAGGCAAAGCTCAATGCTGCATCACACAAATTATCACAGGAAGAATTGAATTTCAAAATAAATTTCATCAAATAAAATGGGTAATGGGTATGGGTACAAATAATTTAAGTAATGCTTACCTAATATATTATTCATGAGGATTTAATGCATGATTTAATGCAGGATCTATCATAAATTCCTGTTGATCAATATTGACAAATGATTAAGTCACTATGACATTTTGTGATTAGTTCACACTTAATAGATCATCAGATCATGGCTTTTGTGACACATTTATAACATAATGGGAGTAATAATAATGAGGGGTTTTTTTTTTTGTGTTGTTAAAAGCATAAAACATTAAACATGTCTGATCATTCTCCTCTAATTGGTCCATTATGTCGCTAATGTGCCAAAAACACAATTAGGTTTATTATGAAGCTACTTTTTTTATGAAAGGCAACGCAAATGCATGGTCAGCAGTACACTTTTATGTAACTGGAATCCTGCAAATGTGGTCGCATATAAATTTATGTATGAATTAACATCCCTTAACTGATGATCTATAAAGTCTGAATCACAAAAAGTCATAGTGACCTGATCATTTATTAACAATTCATTGCATTAATTCACACATGAAATCAGCATGTGGCATGCATTAGTTAAGCTTTACTTACTATAAAGTGTTACCATAAAATCATTTAAACATTTCCTTAATAAATGGCACAGCTGTTCCCATAACTCCTTAGGAAAATTGCCAAGCCCAACCTTAACCAGAAACCAAACGTAGCTCGTTATTAGTGACATTATTACAAAAAGGCATGTTTTTAAATATATTGAATTACCTGTGCAGGTGCCCGCTGCAACAGAAGAGCCAATAAGAGGTGCGAGATTCCGGTGAAACTTTGCATAGTGCCAAAGACGCTCCCCTCGTCGGAGTCGGTCAGTAAGAAGAAATGAAACAGTAGACGGCAGCGACGTGAAGCGGCTAGAGTCCTGATTGGCGCGCCGTTCCCCTGTGCGCGAGCTGGGATGGAGAGAGCGCGCCAAAGCCCCCCAATATACAGGCCTACAGCCGATGATCAATAGGAAACTGTTACATTCAATTCAAGAGGAAAGAAGTTACCACACCCTATCTCTCTGTCACACACACACACACACACACACACACACACACACACACACACACACACACGAATCAACCGTATACATAAGATATAAATAGACAATAATGAATGTATAGATAGATAATAATAATAATAATAATAATAATAATAATAATAATAATAATAATAATAATAATGAATATAACAACCTGAACTAGCCATAAACATGAATTATGAATTTAAATATATACACAGACACACTTGGTCTTAACTGGTTAAATCTGTACATTTGTAGCCTATTCATGTATATTTATGTTATATTAAATTGTTAGAAAATCCGAGAGCTTTTTAGGACATGCTGTTATATCAATGTGACTGTCCTGTCATGCCCTGCTGTAGTAAGTGAATCACCTACTGCATGGTCTTACCACTGCAGAAATCTGTATATTAAAGGACCATACCTTTAATAAAAACAACTACAAATAAAAATACGAATTTCACTGTATTTTTACTAGCAGGCTCCCAGTTACCATTCATTCAAAGACAATTTGAAAATCAACTCAGATTGACCGATTAGATTGCAGATTGCAGAAGTTTGCATTGTTTTTTCTCAAAGTTGTATTTTCTTACTGAGGTAACGGTGCAGACTTTTTAAATCAAGTGTGTGTGCAGACTCATGTTCATTGTGATGTTAAGCCACAATGGTGCTTTTAAGTGCCCTCGTTCTTTTTGTGCTGGCCTAATTATAATAATAACACTATGAGGCCAAATTACAAAAAGCTCCCTTGCTCTCTGTACTAACAGCTGAAACTCAGCTGCTCTGGGTCCACTTCTGGTTTTTGGTTTAAGCTGTTAGGCTGGTCTGCATTGTTTATGCACTGTGGCCCTCAGAGTGTTGCCTGTAAAGTCTTGGCACAAATGCAGGAGATCTGAGGTTATCAACACTGATGCTGCAAGAACGAGCAGAATGTCTCAGAGGTGCCCTCCTTCATTCCTGATTTTGGCATGTTTATTCACACTCGTGTGTTTACTACAGATACCTTATCTGTTATCAGTATATGTCTGGTATGAGTGCTATAAACAACTGCTTTAAATTCAGCCTCCCTACAACACAATACCTGGCTTCTTGTGCTTTGTAGATGCTTTCACTTACAACTAATGCTGACTGTTTACTTCCTAAAATGACTTCCAGGTGTAGTGATACCGGCCATGATTCTTGTTTGCTCGTTCTACAGGGCGTGAATGACAAGCACCGAGGCGTCCCCACATTTATTAGGAGGGCTCAGATGTGTTTTCACAGCCAGTATGATTTACGGGATAATTGGGCCGGTGTGTGTTGGAAAACAGCCCCGTGGAGGAGATAACCAAGATGGATGACGCCTCTCACTCCTTGCAGGCTGTGGTGGTGCTCATGTCATGTTTATGTCACCTTCTACATGATATTAATCAATGTTTTATCTGAGTATTGTGCAAAATCCCTGCCGCCATAGAAAAACAGAAGACAAAAACATTGTGCTCAGCCAGTTCAATAAGAGTTAGCACACCCGTATCTATCAGAACAATGTTTTTAATCTAGTGCAGATTACAGATCTTGTGTAATAATTTCCAGGCAGGATTTCAGCTCTGAAAGTGAATTTGGGCGCCTGAAGTGTTTTTGAACTTTCTGGTATTCCGATGAATGGTTTGCCAACACTCCTTACAGGCAGGGCTCACCCACTTTCCGGGGGTTCCCCTTCCAGCTCAGACTCCCAGTCTGATAGCCAGAGGTCAGACGGACAGCTGCTGCTTCCTGTCTCTGGGAACCATACTGATGCTCCAGTCCCAGTCCCCATCAAGGGAGGATGGGGTTTCCCTCAGCTGGAGCAGAAGCAGCAGCAGGTGGGATTATATAACTCTATATCCCAGGATGTGGGCGAGGCTGTGGCTGTCTTTAGTTATGTGGTCATAAAAAGGATAATCTGAGTACAAACACTGGCCTGCATCCACAGGTAGGAGGTCTGCACTCATGCTTCACGGTCTAAAATATCAACTTTCATATGAGTAACAATATTTTCCTCTTCAAAATCTCTCTGGAATGCGTCTTTGTTTGACCCTACATCCCATGCAACAGATGAAACTGAAACACAGTCATATTTTATCCCAATATTCACCTACAAATCACCAAAATCAAAGACAGACACCTCCTAACATTCCTCCACAGTTTGATCGCTGCAGTCTTCGCCTCTCCTCCGCTCAATGTTTATGCCTATTTTTATGCCTGTGATCAGAATCCAAACTCCATCTGATTTCCCACACTTTTTTTTGCCAGTCTCAAGCTGCAGGTGCATTGTGGGTAATGCTACTGGTTCCCAAGCCCACAGTAGCCAGACGGACCAACGCTGAGTGATGAATGTGACCCAAAAGGCCCCACAGATGCAACTCCATTCTGGGACACACATTAACAGAGTGGTGGGGGTTTCTGAATAAGTAAATAACCTATATGTCACCATAATTACAAAAATACACAAACATAAAAACAAATCAACAGCTGATTAAGGCAGAACATGAGAAATGAGGCTGACTGTTTTCTGCTCACACATGTAGATCCACTTAATGTGTTCCTGCTACATACTGGTCTCACCATCTACAGTTTATCCGCTTGTTTACACTGAAGGTGGCTGAAACTTACTGTGCATTGATTTTTTTCCAGGTAAACTCAGGAATAGCTTATGTAGATAAATTAACACTCTATTGGTTTGGAGCTGAGATGTATGCATTTCTTTGTGTTCACTGTATTCATAGCCAGATGGATGCTGGCAACCATTCCAGTGTTTCCTCCTACGTGATGTTAAGAAATTCAGAATGAGGTGAGGCCTTTGGCAGCGCCCGTGGCAGTACTGTGGGAAAAAAGGTACTTTTCCAATTTGACAAGTTACAGTACGGTATTATTTCAACCTACAGCTTTTTTGATGTGACTCGCTTTACTAATTCAGTGTCTTATAGTTTCTTATGGGAGGATGTGTAGCAGTGAGCTGTGGGGAAACATCACAAATTAGTCTGCTTGTCTTCTAGCTGTTGGAAGTAGGTCTGTGGACTGTTTTAAGACTGATGAAATGGGAATGTTGTATCTTTTTCTTTATGAAATATTTGAGTTCCAAATCTTTTAAAAACATGCATATCTCTGATAAAAAGGACAGAAAAGGCATGTCTGATTGAATTCTGAATATTTATTTGTTGTAATACTTAAACTTAAGGGTTACAGAGCAAGATGGCATTGTTTTTAACAACAACAACAACAACAACAACAACAACAACAACTATGGTCGACACAGAGTTGATTTCAGTTATTTGCTTGATGGATGTTTTCAGACAATGACTGACACACCTCTGACCCTCCTGTTACCTGTGCTACACGTGTTAGAGAGGGACAACTGACAGTCGATTGTTGTGGTGCAGTATATGAGAAGTTACCTCCACCCTGCTGATAAGCTGGAATAAATGAGAACAAATGTGTGAGTTTACAGGGTTTTTATTGAGTCCAAACAATAAATAAGTTAAACTTTCTTTAAACTCCAGGAGACATTCCTGTTAAAATCCATACAGTCCGATTTCACACTTCATTATGCACCATACCAGAATAATGTCAGATTTCTCCAGAGTTTAGTAACATTTCATGTAGTTTTTCTGACAAATAGATGACTAAAGCACGACTTGGTAATCATTGGAAACATTTCTGCTGAATATGTGTTTTTCAGTTTAACTTCCAACAAAATCCAGAAGAAAGTGGAGTGAGAGTGAGCATGTACAAGTTCAGCATCTTGCTCAATGAGACTTCAAATGAAACAGGAGACATGGCTGCATGTCGCACACAGGAAAGACTATCACTGTAACCATCAGAAATATCTGCTCTGTCTGGTAAGGTCAGAAACCAGCTCACCTGATCATCAAACAGCTCACAATCAGTGTATACAAAAACATCGGTGTGACTTCTAGACATTACATCTTCATGTAGTAAACACATTAATAAGATACTGTATGTGTTGAGATGTTACATTTAAGATTACTGAACTGTTCTATCAGGTAAAGGAGAGTACAATGTTTGAATGATGTTACAGCATATTCTACTTCTCTGTGGAGAAGGCTCTCTTCATGAGTGGAGGAGGGGTCTTTCCTGCTTCGTAGAGAGATTCAGGAGGAGGGGAGCTCAAGCAGCACCAGTCTGGGATGCGGCCTGTCTGGTTGTAGTAGTCTCGTGACACTGACCTGCTGCCCAGGATGTCCTGCAGTGCCCCGAAGATGGCCCCTGTTGAGCAGGACGATATGAACATGAGATGATATGAGAGGGCACAAACAATATTCTTCCAAAAGCTTATCGTTTAAAAAACTGGAAAAGGCTGACATTATGGTTTTTGAAGTATGCTGATGTAGAATATTTATCACAATGCAGTATTTTAAATTTAGGAAAGTCTGGCAGTGATAAATATTTTAAATAAAATCTCATATCTAACCTCCGAGCCAGGCGGTGCAGTTGGGTTTGGCAGGTGGAGCGTGTATACGCAAGCTCTTGCTGGCCAGCACATTGCTGTACTTGGGTTTCTCCACCAGGAGGCGTATCTCTGCCAGCAGACGGTGCAGGAAACCTGGCAGCATGGCCGTGCCTCCGATCACCACCAGGTTCTCGGAGAGCACCTTGCGTGCGTCAATGGGGCACTACAGGGAAATACATTTAGCATATAATACTTACATAGGTGTCATCCGTTTGCTTTTCACCCCTATATGACAGATTAGAGTGGAAAAGTCAATGTCTACAGCCCTTGCTTTGCAGCCAGGGAAACGTGCAACGGTCTGCGTCTTTAATTTAAATCATTTTACACCATCACGCCTTTTCAGCGAACGAAACTCTTTAGATGAAAGAAGCACCACATCCACTTTTTTCCCTTATAACAGTGCAGTAGGAGAAAAGATGGCAGAGGCAGGAGGAATCGGCAGTTCTACCACTACAGGATAGCACTT